ATAAATAAAGCTTTTACACGCAATTACTATAATAAAAAAAAGATATCAAAGTTAATATTATCTGAACATCGAAACATTTCCGACTTGTTACACATTTCCTTAAATTTCTAAACGAAAAATAATTTCCGAACCATCCGAAACTTAGTCAAAGAGGCAGCAAGCACCGACCGGTGCCGAGCAACTTTGATGAGTTCGACACACGCGGTAAGCGGGCAACGACATCGGTCGACACAATGCCAGTTTCTTTAAGTTTCGTCTTTGTTAAAAACTTTAACTTCGCTGTCGTTTATTTGGCCTTGAAGTTTTGGGCTATGTTCGACGGCTCCTTTTCATACAGAAATTTTATTTTATTATTTACTTTCAGAGGATCTATAATGGTAGAGTTCCAACCTGATTACTTTTTTAACAGGGATGGATTACTCGTGGACCGGAGGGAGGCCTTTTCAAATTTCACGAAAAGGTGGGAAGCACGGGATCAGCCACGAGCGGTGGAATTTGTTTGATAGAGACCTAATAGTTCAAGTATAGCTGCTTCGCGATTGCATGTACTAGCGGATCGAAATCGCGACCCGCTGAATAGATCCGGCGAGAAACTCAGCTGACTGATGTATTTTAGGTTAGGTTTCAGGTTGGAAACTTGACGAGTTCGAGAGTGACGAGTACGGTTACCCAGGTCCCTAAGCTTTCTCCTAGTGCTAGGACTGCAGGCGTCTAACGAAAATGTGAAGTAAATCGGATGAGATCCGTAAGGACGAGTATAGGGCGTCGACGGTGACTAACTTATGCGTGAACCGGAGTCAGGAAAGGTCAACGGTGTCTCCATCGATCCCATTCTGTAGCTTGGTGGAGTGCATCACTGACAGGTATTTTTAGTTCCTCCGCTATTTGGTCCGATCATCGTTTGGGGCCTCAACCTCTAGGCCTTTTCCCCTCGATTTTATCGGTCAGCACAAGGCGTTCCAAATAGCTGGTTTCCCTGCGTGCAACATGACCAAAATACCGCAATATTCTTTGTACGCATGTTTTGGATAGACGTTGAATCTTGTATGTTTTTAACTGCTTGAGAATAGAGATGTTGGTGCGGCGGGCCGTCCATGGTATTCGTAGCATACGTCGCCAGCACCACATCTCAAAAGCGTAGATTCTCTGCCCATCTGCGGCTTTCAGTGTCCATGTCTCTGCGCTGTATAGAGCAATGGAGAAGACAAGGGTGCGGACCAGATGTATTTTAGTCCGGTGGGTAATATTATGGTCTGTCCAAAGGAGAAACCCCATTTTGGGCCTAAGCGTTACACGAATGGGATATGTACCAAAAAATTCGTCTATTTTGCTTGATTAACCTATTGAAATCTTAGCTTCATTGACAATGGCCAAGTGTAGAAAATAAGTTGAATTCAATTTTTTGTTTTAAACATTCTTTTCATTTTAATATACGTAACTAGCTCCACAAACGTGCGGATTAGAATTAGAGCATCCATAAAATAGGATCAATTTAGTGGAAATCGAGTGTAAAAAATAATTAATACTCTTTTGCTTTAGGATAAATGACTGTTTTTATAGGTATTTTAATCAATGTAAATAGAGTATGGCCATCGAATCGTGACACAACTACTTACAATAGCGGCAATTCAAAATATCTACAACTAACAACATTAAATATAGCATGAAAGTGTAGTTTTGCATTTTTATATTAATGTGACTATGCCATAGAAAAACACAAATGTATCAAATCGTGTTAAGTTATCTTTAATGTTGCCAACTGAAGATATTTTGGATTGCCGCTATTTAGTTGTGCCATGATTCGCTGGCCAGACTATAAACTTAATCTCATTGAATAACGTAACATAAAGCACCAAAATCTACTAACAAAAATCATTAAAAGAAATAAATAACTGTGCCATTTAGTTATGATACGAAATCATGTCGGCAACTGCGGCAATTCAAAATATTTTCAACTGGCCAAATCGACTTTTTCATGTTATATTTAAGTAACATGAAAAAGTCGATTTGGTACTTTGAGTTTTTCTATGGTGTAGTTACATTAATAATTTTACTGGTGGTAGGATCTCTTGTGAGTCCGCGCCTCCCGCCCGCCTATTTTTGCCGTAAAGCAGTAATGCGTTTCAATTTGAAGGGCGGGGCAGCCGTTGTAACTATACTGAGACCTTAGAACTTATATCTCAAGGTGGGTAGCGCATTTACGTCGTAGATGTCTATGAGCTTTAGTAACCACTTAACATCAGGTGGGCTGTGAGCTCGTCGATGGGTATCTAAGCAATAAAAAATAAAAATAAAAAAGGCATGAAATAAAATGAAATGTGATGAGATAATATGGGAGCACGTAATGATTTATATTTTATATAAAAAAGTTATCATATAAATATAGTTTTTCATATAAAAAAGTTTCATTAAAATTAAAATAAGACTGACCTAAAGGTCTTAGTTACCAGGTCATAAAATCCCTTAAAAAATCATTTCGTGCGCAGCGCGTTTCGCATTACGTTGTTTTNGGAGCACGTAATGATTTATATTTTATATAAAAAAGTTATCATATAAATATAGTTTTTCATATAAAAAAGTTTCATTAAAATTAAAATAAGACTGACCTAAAGGTCTTAGTTACCAGGTCATAAAATCCCTTAAAAAATCATTTCGTGCGCAGCGCGTTTCGCATTACGTTGTTTTTAATTTTTGGCTTTCGTTCGTTTTCGTAAACAACCTAACGCGCGATTTCTCGTAACAGGTTCCATTTTTATTTTAAAGTAGCCTGTTGCTGCAACAGGTTTCGTAAAAAATTACTCATCTGTAGTAGGAAACAGCCTCAAAAATATCGTTTTTATTAAAATATCTCGAACAATAAACATAACCTAAAATGTAAACATTGTCTGATTTTACCAATTTGGCCATTGCTGGGAGATCTGAAAATTGGGCTCATGAAACCTTCTTAGGTATTGTAACTTATGCCCAAATTCTAGCACTGTAACGCCAGGCCCAAGTTTGTATGGATTTCGGGTTTGTCCTTTGTGTTAATAAAGAAGAAAAACAATAAATTTGCCTAAGTTAAGCCTAATTTTTGTTTTTACAGTGAACATTATAGATTTTTTTTTAATTATGCCTCAGACCTTCATTCAAATTATGTAGCATGCGTAAGGAATTGGTCAATAATTTTCACGGTGCACCAGGGCGGCACTTAAAATAAATTTGATCACATACTTGAATGTGTCTATTCTTAAGCCTCTTCCTAAGTCAGGCAACGAACGTACTTCGATTCAACCCAAGTAACGACACCTTGACTCTACCGAAGCACACCACCCAAAGTAAACCGATGTTTTACGAGTAGTTGGGGCTCGCATTCATTAGGTGAAACGTTTTCGCTTCGTTGGTCGTATCCGGATGCGACATACATGTATGTCGGCGCAACATCACTATTTAGTTATCTAAAAATGGTTAAAGTTAACTATCGGGTTGATACCCCACGAAAAGCACAGCAGTGCTCTTCATAAGGGGTCGCCCTCCGAATACCGACGAATAGGCGCGTAAACACCTCCGCCATTGGCCTCATCATCATGTACGACCAACCCATACCGTAGGCCACGAATACTTAGGCGTCACCCTCGACAGAGGGATGACATTCCGCCCTCACTTATAGACGGTACGCGACCGAGCCGCGTTCATACCAGGACGCCTCTATCCGATGATTTGCAAGCGAAGTAAATTGTTCCTTAGAAATAAGGTGACACTCTATAAAACTTGCATACGCCTTGACCTTGAAACCCCTTCAAACCATTCAATTCCGTTTTTGCAAGATAGCCGTCGGAGCCCCGTGGTTCTTCAGGAACATCGACCTTCACGACAACCTGGACCTAAAGTCCATCAGTAAGTATCTACAGTCGGCATCAATGCACCATTTTGATAAAGCGACACGATACGAGAATCCGCTCATCGTTGGCTTCGGTAACTACATAGTCGATCCTGCGGGCCAAATGGTAAATAGTGGACGTCGCCCAAAACACGTAACCTCGGATCCTCCTAATCCACTAACGGTGCTTTTAGGTACCTCAAGCACCAGTCATCGTTCTGATCGTTCTCGTCAAACCCGTCGCTTGCGACAAAGGGCTTGGTGAGTAAATTAACCCACAGACACAGACCACTGAGTTTCTTGCCGGATCTTCTCAGTGGGTCGCGTTTTCGATCCGGTGGTAGATTCTGCGAAGCTCTTTGTAGGGTTCATGTTAACAACGTCGTCAGGGTTGAGCCCCGTGTAAAAACACAATGGAAATAGCCAGATCCATCATATATACCTAATTAAATTTTAATAACAAGGTCAACTGACCCCAAATTAAGATTCCCTGTACTGTGGAAACTAATGACTGATAAACATACCCATATTTTTCATTTCGTACGTTTTGGATTTGATCATGATGACGGCTAGACCCCAATAACACACTTAGAAACATATATCACTAGAAAGTTCTGACATTCTTTTAATTTACTTTTCGCTTTAAACCATAATAGACACCATAAAAAACTTAATTTATGTATTTTAGACCTAGACACCTCTCTACACTTTTTTGTGCGTTCATGTATTCATCTAATCTACTTTGAAGTTATCGAGGCTTGCACATCTTATTGTGTATTCAACATCGATTAAAACATAATCATTATGTAGAATAAAATAAAGTTAGCATGTACCTATGTATGTAATGGATCTCATAAAAAAAATTGAAGTGATAGATCGGCAAAGTGTCGCGACTTGGTTTCTTATTTCAGTCACTTTTAGTGGTCGCGACTCAATGTGTTCAACGTCCCATTTTGACATGTTTAATTTACACTAGTTTTAAAAGTACTAATACTTTCAACTTACATGCTCTTTAATTCAAATAACGCATACATACTAATTCTAATTAAAATGTGATTTAATGCTGACACAAATAGCTACCTATCACTGAGAACAAAACAAAACGCACCCAAATCAGAACAGGTTGACACTTCAGAAGTGACGTTTCTTTGCAGTGTTGTCAAAAAAATGTCAGCCAACAAGGAGAATAACCTTGTTCAGGCTTATCTTGAATTAAATAAATTTTGCCAGAGCAGTGACTATGAAAGAGCTTTAAAAGCTGCAGGGAAAAGTAAGTAATATTCGTTTAATAGAACATAAGATCTATGCGGCTAAACTAGTTAAAAACTAAAAATCAAAACTGTCCTCTCAACCCCTCCAACATCACTATTACATTATTACATTAATGTTGAATTATCAATTGGAAACGACTCATACTCTTTATCTGAAAGGACCAGTGCGGATTCAGGTGAATAATGTTAACTTCCAGCACATTCAATTCATATTAGTCACTATTGTAACTTCAAATTCTATAATCTTATTTCTCAAGAAAATAGCATATACACAAGATACATATAATATAAAAGAACTTTAAAACTTGATTGCACGCATTAATATGTTCCAGTACTGCAGATAGCACCAAATGAGCAAAAAGCATTTCATTGCAAAGTGGTATGCTTTCTCCAACTCCACAACTTCAAGGAGGCTCTAGCGACATTAACCAATGCCAAGAACTCAGCGTTAGCAGCAGACCTGCTCTTTGAGAAGGCATACGCTCAATACCGTCTCAATTCACCTAAAGAAGCACTACAAACTGTTGATAGTGCCCCTGAATTGACACCTGCTTTAAAGGAATTAAGGTCAATATTCAATCAATCATAAACATCAATCAATAAATTTAAAATTTAACAACACATGAGATTCAAGTATTGATTCATTTCAAACTACTGTAATGATGTAATCTCGAATTTGTATCGTTTAATTACGAAGAATAGATATTATAAATTAAAACTTAATTATAGTTAACTTTACAAGTTTAATGGATTTTAGAATGGAGTTTTTACTAACATTCGCATGAATTGTAAGGCAGTACTACTATAATGTCTCAAATTGACAGACAATTGGCTCATTATACTATGATATTTTTAGAAGCCATAACCATAGCCATAGAAGCCATATAATAAAACAGATTATGACTGACAATTTATTATAATAAATACAAAAAGTAATTGTGAAAGACACCAAACATTAAATAAATTTCAATAACAGGGCTCAAATTTTATACCGCTTAGAGCAATACCAAGACTGCTACAATTTATACCGTGACCTACTGAAGAACACCACTGATGAGTATGAAGATGAGAGGAAAGCCAACATGGCTGCTGTTGTGGCTAACTTGGCAGCACTTAACCCTGTAAGTAAGAAGTGTTTATTTAAAAATAAGATGATTCTTTGTGCTACAATGTGTTCAAAAACACAAAGCCCATTTCAGTTCTATTTATTATTCTATAAGAAATATGTAATGTAATCCAGGCAGTTGATATGCCCTATGTACCTAACCTGCCATTAGTTCTCTAGTAAACGAAAAATTAAGTAACTTTGAAGAGGTACATATCACTTTTTAATATCTTTAAATTTACCTTGTAGACATCAGAACTGCCGCAGTTTGATGAAAACACATATGAATTGGCATACAACTCTGGCAGCACTTTGGCAATGAGGGGGAAGTATAATGAAGCTTTGTCAGTCTTAAAGAGAGCCGAACAAGCCTGTTCTGAGAGTGTAATAGATGATGGAGGCACTGAGGAAGAGGCTAAAGAAGAAGCTGCCATTATAAGGTAATGTAAAAGTGATATTTGAAGTCAGTGACAATATTATACAATCACTGCTTTAGAATAGTAATGAACATCACAGTTGAACTTAACCATTTAGGTTTATAGCTAATCATGTAGGAATTTGTAAATTTTTACATCAAAATGATTATATGACTATTTCTTAATAAGAAAATAATGTCTACTCAGCATAGCCTGTTAAAATGTAAACCATTGGTCTGAATATTATTGCTGAAAACCTATAGATGAAACTTGCTACAAATTTTGGTGGGGTGAATCAAATGACTCATAAATTTCATTACTACACGTTTACTATTTAGTTTTTTTTTAAATAAATATTTATGAAACTAGCATGTGGTAAGTGAATTATATTATAGTGGCATAAGTTCATGCTCCATCATACATGGAAATGGTCTAAAATTTCTTAAAACTAAACATAGAATGTGCTTTCCAGGGTCCAACAAGCTTATTGTCTTCAGCAAATAAACAGGGAGAAGGAAGCGGCTACTATTTACCAGAACATTCTGAAGGACAAACCCAGCGATCAGGCATTAGTCGCGATTGCTAGCAATAATATCATTGTTATAAACAGGTATGTTGTTTACACGGCATCAGATCCAAGCACATTCGTAATACACATGGGTATATATTTAATTGTCTTAATAAATTACTGACTTTTAATTGAATGGTTTGCACAAAGCCCATTCATAATTGAGATATTTCAATAAAAATATCCAGTATTGTTTATAGTAATGATTAGAAGTATTTGTTACATGCTGGGGTTCAGGAAAAATAAAAATTCTACCGGAGTACAACTTAAAACTGTATTAGCACTTAGAACACTTAAAACACTTCAAAAACACTTTAAAATTCTCAATTCACTTTTTCCACTTCGGTTCAGGTGATCCGTTCGCTGTTTCGCTTCGAGTAGTTCAGATTACTGACTGACTGCGTGCCATCCCTGCAACGCTTTTAAAGTCAATACGACATCCCTAAAATCGTCGAGAACATTCCTGACAAGTCGAGTACCTTCGATGTGTGCTTCCGCTTTCTGACAATAGATGGCGTTGTACTCCTCGGGCGTTCCAGATGTTACTAGATTCTTCGATATTCGTTCGGCTATTTAACGATAGATGGCGTCACTCTTACCGGCGTAACATATGTACCGTATGTTCCATGGGGAGTGCTCTGAGAAGCTGTTCGAGATGATCCCGGCATCTCGTTTTTACCATCGCACCGCCCGCCACCGGAGTAGAGTTCATCCATACTACCTGGAGCCACTGCGGTCATCCACAGTGCGTTTCCAGAGGTCTTTTTTGCCACGCACCATCCGGCTATGGAATGAGCTCCCCTCCATGGTGTTTCCCGAGCGCTATGACATGTCCTTCTTCAAACGAGGCTTGTGGAGAGTATTAAGCGGTAGGCAGCGGCTTGGCTCTGCCCCTGGCATTGAAGTCCATGGGCGACGGTAACCACTCACCATCAGGTGGGCCGTATGCTCGTCTGCCTACAAGGGCAATAAAATAAAAAATAATAATATTAAAACACAAATAATTGAATCGATGGTTTATTGTTTATTCATGTTTTATTCTTTCCTTTTAGAGACACGAACGTGTTCGATTCTCGTAAACGCATGAAGGCGGCCACTGCGGAGGGACTAGAACACAAACTAAACTCCCGTCAACGAGCTGTCATCACTTATAATCAAGCCATACTCTCTATTTACTCTAATCAAGTAAGTTCTTCCCCTTTTTAATATATGGCAATTGGCTTCTTACCGGTACCATTGTTAACAGTGTTGAGTTTATAGAATTTTCCAGTTATTAATCTTTTTTTTTTTTGTGCATATCTGCGATCACGCCTAAGCTGTAAGTAGATGTGTTGCATGTCTCATGTTGTGTCAAAGAGGCTCCTTAGCAGAAAATGCTACATCTATCACGAACTCAGAATTTGACACTGTTTTTTTAAAGTGAAATTTCTTTAGAATCGTTGTGATTTCAAACTCGATGAAACGAAAAAATAAATCCATAGAGACACAAACACATAAATGTATAGGATTCAGCCGGCGATAGAATGAGATAGAACACATTAGACGTTCTCAGTGTAGTGTTTTTTTTTAATACAGCGCCATCTATGGGATTTTTAATACTAACGTGTGTATGAAACCTCTTGTAGTGAATTTTAATTTAGGATTATACGTGAAGTTAAAATATCAATTCACAGAGGGCGCTACCTCATACTATAAAAGATGATTTACAATTATTTATTAATGACAAAATTTTACATATACTCAGGGCATTTAGGATAATTGTATTTTAATTTTTTAAGATTTCACTTCTACCACTTGTGAATTGCACGCAATTATTTTTATTTATTTATTTCGGATGCTTAATAAATTGACAAACCGTTTTTATTTTCAACAGCCAGACTTCTGCAAGCAGTGCTGTGTGAAGCTGGTCCGTGACTTCGGCGAGGATCGTCGCGCTGCCATTGTGGAGGCGTCCTCGCTCGTCAAGGAAGGGAAGGCACCGCAGGCAGTCAGCTTGCTGCTCAAGCACGGAGGGACATTGACATTGGCAGCCGTACAGATACTACTCGTTAATGTATGGAAACCTTTATTATTATTAGTGTAGACGGTGCCAGTTCAGTGGTGTTGTTTCTGCATAGTGTGTCCAATCCCAGAACTTGCCCTCCCTCCCATCATAGAGTATTACAACCAAAATCATCAGTCATTAATTATTTTAATTGCTATTAATTTAATTTTGGTTGCTTCACTGTTATACCCATCGGCCGTAGTCAACATAGAATTGAGGCCGTCAGCGCAAAAGTGACCTAAGCTTATCATAGTTAGTATGGAGGCTATTATGTTTTATTATTTAATAATGAACTTAAGCACATGTGTCGGGTAACAAATCAGTTCATTATGTGTCTGTCTTTATGCAACCCGCACTTAGCAATCCTTTTATTAAAAGGTGAACAAGTACCCTCACTAATACACTACAGAGGCAATTAGGTTGAATTTTCATGAATTTGAATTTGAGTAGGCAAAAAAACAATGCCCGCCAAAATATTGTTTACAAAGCTATCTGTTATCTATGGGTGAAACTATGAATAAGCAGGTTTGCATCAAAACTTATTATTTATTTTAAATAAATTCCAATATACATACACAAGCTTGAATATAAAAAAATGTGTCGATTTAGAAAAATAAGCAGTGTCGTTATTGTTAGTATTACATTAAACGTTGTGTTGCAGGGTGACCGTAAAGCAGCGATCAAGCTGTTACAAGAGAGCGAGTACAAGCATCGTCCCGGAGTCGTGGGAGTGCTGTGCACGCTGCTCTGTGCCGACAACGAGCTGGAGAAGGCCTCGCTGATGTTCGATGAACTGTACGAGCACGTCAAGAACGATGCAGAGGTAAGATGAACACTCTTTTACTGGTGGCAGGACCTCTTGTGAGTCCGCGCGGGTAGGTACCACCACCCTGCCTGTTTCTGCCGTGAAGCCGTTGTAACTATACTGAGACCTTAGAACTTATATCTCAAGGTGGGTTGCGCATTTACGTTGTAAATGACTATGGGCTCCAGTAACTACTTAAAACCAGGTGGGCTGTGAGCCCGTCCACCCATCTAGGAAATAAAAATAAAAAAAAACTTTTTGGCGGGAACGCGAGTAGTGAAGTTGTGTGATTTGTTTTATTTTGTCTATGTAGTGTTTCTTCAAGCTTAAATGTGTAATAACGGTGGTCTATTAACTGTTTTATATCTGTGAAAGTGCACAAATGTGGTAAAATGAAACAAAGCCGCTGGACGTAACTTCTCGGGATCCTCCAATAAATCCAATGAAAAAGTCTCAGTAAATGACCACCATTTTACTGAGATTATATTTCATCCCGTATCATCTTATCTCATTTCATTTAATTTCATGCCAATTGATTAAATTTCCGTCGTTTTTTATTATTCTTAAACTGTAAATAATTAAGACGGCGAATTATAAAAATCTTATGACTTGACGCTGGCTTAACCCAACTTTAAGCCGCTTTCAGACTACGCTATAATGTAATAGCATATAGCTCATAGCACAACAATATCGCGCACCATACATTGTAATGGACACGTTCACACTGTACTGTACTATATATTATTGGCTAAGTATAGGCTGCTATACTATATGGCATGTAGCCAGTGGCGGATTAAAGGTCCAGAGCGCCCTAGGCAATCACTTTATCGGCGCCCCTGTACCGGCCATAAATGGCCATCATATAATACTATAAATTTTAACTAGTTGTTTTTGCAATTACGATGACGTTGTATCATCAAACCCTAGACTTTAGTAGACCAGGACCCTTGTACTTACGCTAATGCGCGAATGAAATATGACGTTATAACTGAGAAGAAATCAAGAGGGACGACAGAACGAACATCGAAATTCATGATTCGTCTCTTCTCTGGGAAATAGGCCAAATAGGAATAATCTATTATAAATCAGCATTTAGTTCTTAATCGTCGATATGTTATTTTCTTTATTTATTTAAAAATTCTGAGCTCGCGCGCCCCTTGTAACTACACGCCTATGAGTATAGCGTAGTCTGAAAGCAGCTTTAGAGGTAGTATGTCCTATGTGTCGGCTCGGTTGAAGCAACTGTCGTCCTTACCCCCGTGCGAACAGAGGATGAAGCTGTACCGCGGGGCGTGGCGGGGCGCGGCGCGGTGCCACGGGCGGGCGGGGCGCGCGGGGGCGGCGGCGCGCGCGCACGAGGCGCTGGCGGCGGTGGAGCCGCGGGACGCGCGCAGCCTGGCGCGGCTGGTGAAGGCGCTGGCGGCCGCCGACCCGCCCCGCGCCCGGAGCCTGGCCGAACAACTGCCGCCTTTGGACCAGCTCGAGGTCAGTCGATCGTCTCGCAACCCTACTCTATTGTAGACCTGGACTAATTTCAGCTTCAAATAATTCTTTTATTATACTGAGTGTTCGACGACCGCTTCCGAAAATGAAGACAGACGAACACGACGGTACTAATGACACCTTTGATTACACGACTCTACAAAAAAAATTTCGTTCTTTGTCCTAAAGTTTATACTATTATTTTCCAGTTAGTTATGCACAAAAACGAAAAGAAAATACCTTTTTTCGGTATAAAGTTTGCTTTTGTGATAGTTATAATAATAATACTCATTTTTCAATTTTTTCATAAATTTTAATTGATTTTAATATTTAAAAAAAAAACGCGCGGTGAGAGTGGGGTATTAACGTTTACACTGTGCCGCTAGATGGCACCCGAGTGATAAACAACCATCAGGTGTTATTTACAAGCCCAGAATAACTTAAAATGTCGTCACGAAAGTGCAAATACGATACTGATGCATTTTGTTTTATATGTGGTCAATTTATTAAAGTTCGAGACGTGAAATATGAACTAAAGACATCTCACGTTCTCTGTGAAGCCTATGAAGCATATTTTGACTGTCCTGTACGGAATCAAGATAAGCCATGGGCTCAAATAATAAGGTCATGGCCTGTAAGAACAGAATTGTGTNGGCGGGCGGGGCGCGCGGGGGCGGCGGCGCGCGCGCACGAGGCGCTGGCGGCGGTGGAGCCGCGGGACGCGCGCAGCCTGGCGCGGCTGGTGAAGGCGCTGGCGGCCGCCGACCCGCCCCGCGCCCGGAGCCTGGCCGAACAACTGCCGCCCCTAGACCAGCTCGAGGTCAGTCGATCGTCTCGCAACCCTACTCTATTGTAGACCTAGACTAATTTTAGCTTCAAATAATTCTTTTATTATACTGAGTGTTCGACGACCGCTTCCGAGAACGAAGACAGACGAACAGACGACGGTACTAATGACACCTTTGATTATGGGTAGGGAAAAAAATCGATCCTGATTTAATGAAAAAACACAGTTTTAAAACGTTTTATTAGCATTATTTACGCTCCATCGTATTAGTACAACTAAATGAAATGATAAAAAATACATTAAAAATACATTACTTTGATTTGATTTTCATAAAAAATACATTACTTTACTAAAAAAAAAACAGCAATGAAACAGAAAATTCGATCGATTTTTTTTCCGTCCCATCATTAAAGATGTTATTAGTACCATCGCCTGTTTTCGTTTTCGGAAGCGGTCTCCTAAAGCCCAGTATTGGCGACAAAATATATATATATATATAGAAACCCCACATTTTAATATGTACTCGGTATTTTAAAAACATAAGTTTACAACAATTTTGATAGAGGATATCTAAAGTATTATTTGAGTAGATATCACCGATACTGTATCGCTTGCACTTGTGTATGTTTATCTATTTATTTATTTATTTAATCAACAATGTTTCAACAGCATTTAACTAGACACAGGGTACAGAGGATGTTTTCACAAACATGAGCCAATTAAAGAAACACATTATTTTTTCAAAAAATGTTAACATAATTAATGAACACAGGTAGTCCAACTAAGGTAAAGGTAAGGCAGTTAAATAGGTAGATGAATTTTGTCGAATGATAACTTGTAGAATAAGTTTGAATCTGATTGTGTTGTGTCGATGTGTGTAAGTGCGTGTGAGTGTAATAAAGTGTTTGATTTACATGGACGCTCGAATTGATTATGAACGTTGATTGTTAATTGTAGAACACATTGTTCTGTATTACAATACGTAAACTCCGTAAACTTAAGACATAAAGTCTAAATTTCTTTAAGATAACAATCATGCTTCGTGAGTCGTTAATTAAAATCACTTTACCAGTTCAATCGCGTTTCTTTCTTTTCATTATATTATTTCCGATGTTCCCAATACCAAGTTATAATGATCGTAAGAGACAAAAAAACGCGAGAAATATGTGTTAGGACATCGTGTAGTTACCACCACCCTGCCTATTTCTGCCGTGAAGCAACAATGCGTTTCGGTTTGGAGGGCGGAGCAGCCGTTGTAACTATACTGAGACTCGGAACTCATTTCTCAAGGTGGGCGGCGGCATTTACATTGTTGATGTCTACGGGCTCCGGTGACCACTTGACACCAAGTCAACCGCAAGCTCGTCCACACATCTTAGCCATAAATAAAAAATAACGAAATACATAGTAGATTTCATTAAATTTATCGAAATTTCCATCAAATGATTTGTTATTGCAGACGAAAATCGATATTGACGCCCTGGAATCGTCGAAGTGGATGATGGGAGCTAAAGTCGTCAAGAAGACTGTCCAAAGCAAGCAGGAACAATCTCCCGGGTACTGACTTTTTTTTTCCCCTACCTATGCTGATAGCCTTGAGAGGCTATTTCAGCCTCACCCTAACGTGTAGGTGAGCTCACGGGGCTCAAACCGGAGTGTTGCTATAATTGACCCTAGCAAGAGCCGTGCTTCGCAGAATCTACCACCCGATCGGAAACGCGACCCACTGAGAAGATCCGGCGAGAAACTCAGTGGGCTGTGTCAATGGGTTAATTCACTCGTCGAGCCCGTCGTCACAAGCGACGGGTTCGACGTGGATGATGACAGGTGCTTGTGGTACCTAAAAGCACCGTTAATGAATCAGAAAGTACGGACCTTGCTCAGTGGCATAAGTACAAGTTTGACGTTTACAGCCGCCAAGGAACAGCTCGTAGAAAAAGAATCACAAGTGTAATTCATTAGCGGAGCTTATTGTCAAGTCTTTTAGGTTTAAGGTTTAGAATATTAGGACGAAGTTACACAATTATTATTTTGTCATCGGTCCTTGATACGCGCGTGAATGTTTCAAATCGATTCGACGTATTCGGGTGCGGGCGCGGCGGCGGGTGCGGACGCAGTAGACGTAGCGAGTTCGTGTTCACATTGGCCGCCAGGCGTTTGCTTGAGCTTGACTTGTTTTCAGAGATTGAAAACATAGATGACGATCTTTTATAATTTTTAACCGAAAATTCGTACGTAATTTGTACCTAAAGTGGAAAATGATAAAAATTTGAATCGATGTGCATGAAATTAATAAAGAAAGAGAACGGTATGGTGAATTTCATACTTTATTCATATTTCTTCTGTATTGAAAGACATGATATCGTTTCATCGACAAGTTCAAACTGGTTGGACTCACCTGACGTCGCGAGTGAATCGCGCGCTTCGCCGCTAGTTCGACGTGAACACATCCATACAACTCGCGCGTTTGATTTTGCCGCGAGCGCCAGTCGCTAGCTTGCCCGCTACTTAGACCGCGCGTGCGTTTCGTACGTGAACACTTGTATATTACGCCATATGTTTGATATTTCGTGACCGCACCCGCCACCGCGCCCGCGTGTCAACGTGAATGAACACTTCAAGTCGCCGAATATGACGTTCAAATTATTCCGTTCTTAACCAAGCTAGTAAAATCGTATCGTAAAATAATATAAAACATCTATCTGCTAACAGAACTCCCGGCTCTGAGTTGGGACAGAAGAAGAAAACGAAACGCAAGCGCAACAGCAAACTCCCGCCGAACGCAGACCTCTCCAAACCTCCCGATCCGGAAAGGTAATTAATTATATGCTATAATTATATTATCTACATATTTGTTCTATTATCACTACAGGCAGGTCCCCTCCAGTGGCGTAGCGAGGGGGGTCAAGGGGGATACCATGTCTCGGGCCTTACAAAAATACTGGATATTTTATTTACTATAATCGATTTCTCGAAAATATATTTTAAATTTAGTGCCAGTGCAATATAATTAATGTTAATTCGTAAATAAAAAAAGGAACACTAATAGTCTAAATAGGGACGCTTAAAAGACCATTACTGGACGCTCTGAAAAATTAGCGACTTACGTTTTCGTAACACCCTGTATTTCAGAATATGATTAAATTTTGTTTTGCAGGTGGTTGCCAAAGTACGAGCGAACTGCGTACAGAAAGCGACGAGGCATTAGACGTGACGTCATCAAGGGTAGCCAAGGAATGTCCACCACTGCCACGGATCAATAGTAAGTCGACTTGTATTATCATAGGGATCACAAACCCACCCACCCAAACCCGCACACACACACGCGCGCGCACGCACGCACACACACGCACGCACACACACACGCACACAAACACCCACACGCACGCACACACACACATTCAGACATAAGGTTGAAGTCTAAATTGCAACAGGATCAAGATAAAGTAATTTCCTCGGATAGCGAATTGGCGAACACGTTTGGTATGTAAATTTATTAAAATTAATATTGATATCAATACCAGGATTGAACTGCGACAAAATTGTTAAGAAAATTAGATCATTCATAATTCATTAATAAAATGAATGTAATTAAACAAAAACTGGAAACTATTGGAAAATAAATACGACTTTTTTTTTAGTGACATGAGTAAACAGCAGACCACGCCTACCCCGGCGACCTCTGCGAAGAGTCCCCGGGTCGAAGTCAAGCAGACCGAGAGCGCTTGGCAGCGCAAGCAACAGCAGAAGAAGAAAGGCAAGGGACGTAAATGGTAGTAGCACCGTAATAAATGACATTTTTACTTGATAATATTGTGTTATTTATCACCTCTGATATTTTTTTCTATTCAATTTTTTAAATCACGCACTGTCATCCCGGTCCAATTTAGGATTCCCTGTTATGGGTACTAGTGTGCTTAGTGCGAGTTTTTTAACGTTCTCGATATGTAGCGTAAAAGTTAATGAAAGGACATGGTCCTCTCTCCATACATTGCTCGGCCCACTAAACGAAATTCAAGAACAGTAATAAAATTAAGTTTAAATAATAGACTATATATCCCTTTTATTATAAACAAATTAAAATCAATATTGTTCATGGGGATACGGAGATATTTAAAAAATTATATAAGATTTTTAGGTTACCTATATCATATGATTTGCTGTCAATACACTTACACTTTAACATCATCATCAGCGTAAATATTATTTATATTACTATACTTTACAACACAGACCTAATTCAATGAATGCCAATTGGAACAGCGCCCCTAGCGGCAGACGTAGGCAAACGTTCCTACTCCAGCATACAAGCTTTATTAAAAACTAGCCGTACTCGCCCGCTTCTCTAGGCATTTAAAATTAACATTATTATTTATTGTCATTATTATTAGGGAGTCCAACACTCATATAAATATCAGCCTATCCGTTAAGTACATGTATTTTCTACATGGATACCAAGTTTCAAATCAATCGGATGCATGGTCCCTGGGTAGTTATGACGGAACATCCGTAAAAACCACTATAGATTTATATATTAGTACAGATATAGATGTGAAAATTTGTGAAAATGAAACTTCACAATATAAATAATGTATAAATCATAAATGAATATTGGCAACAAAAATAACGGTATGGCGCAAGTTGTTTCAGGTTTTTTTTTTTTCGAACGTTCTGCAATTCGGAAAAAAAAGGAATCTCATTACATTAAAATACAACAATTCACTTATATGATTTATTAAAAATAGACTTAAAATATATTGTCACTATCGCTTATTTTTTCGTTTAGATTTGCCTGGCCTTTGGTTTTTCTTCTTCGTATTGAAAGTTTTATTTTTGAAATTAACCGATTTTTTGGAGGCGTTGTTAAAACCGTCCATATTGTGAGTAGATTCTCTTGTATTCAATTTGGACCCTTTCTTTTTACCACCGAAACCAAACTTTTTGTTTTTGAGATCCCTTTTCTTGGATATTTTATCCTGGACTCCTTTTCCTTTGCTATTTTTGCCTTTTTTGTCGTCCAAAAAGTCTAAATCTGAGGCTTTTCCTTTCCTCACACGTTTCAATTGTTCCAACATCTGCTTCTTTTCAGCAGCTTGTTTCAATTTCGTGTCAATCTAAAAAAAATATATAAAAAATGGAGGTTAGGTTAAAATTAATACATAAGGAATATTTTCTAAAACTTCTGTAATTGCAATGATAAAACGAAAAGGACTAATAAACTGGCTTGAGCGTGTTAGTCCATATGGAATTCAATTTTGCTTATGAGTTATACATTAGTTTAATACATTAAAACAAAAACAGGATATGTATTGATTATTGTATTCAAATTATGAATTGGAATCAAAAAATTGATCCAGGTTTTAAGGGAAGAACAAAGAAGAGAAAATGAAAAGCTGAAATATTCTAATAAAGCGTGGCAATATTACAACACTTGTGGTAGGATAGTATATATCTGAGCCTGCATGGGTAAACAGTACACCACCATCCTGCTATGTTAAAAGAATTTTTTTTTGGTTGTACTGTTTATAACTAACCTGTACTCTCTTAGCAATCTTCTTCTGTTCTCTTAATTGTCGAACTTTCTCGACGCGCGACTGTGCTGCTTGCTTGGCCATCAAATTCTTACGTACTTTCTGCATGTGCTCATCTGTCTTAGCCATTTCAGCAAAATAATCATCAGGTCTAAAAAATTTAAGAATTTGTAATTTCTGTATGTATTTGAATAGGCTAATGGATAAGACACCTAATGTAAACATATACAGGTATGCAATATAATTGAGACTTTGACATGTCCAAAGATAAGTAGTGGAATAACTATGATATCTACAGACCATGGAAACTCAGACCTCATATGGCAATTAACATTGAAGTCTTAAATGTTATTAGTGCACATGTGTTAGATGTGCAGCAACTTGACTGTGCACCTAGCATCGCTGTAGTCCACATGCAACAGAAACCACTCATTAAGCCTGTTACAGTCAATCAAATTACAAATAGAAGCAGGCCCATCCATCGGGATAAAAATACATCAGCAACATTAGGCAAAATTTGGAAGCATGGAAAGTTTATGTTCTACTTTTTCTGTTTTAACTAAATGAATTCCAAATATTTTTTACTTTCACGAAAATGTTGACAAATTAAATTAAAATGCCAAGAAAATTATTAAAATTGTAACTACAGTCAAAACCGTTTACTGTGACATTGTTAAGAACAACATGCCGTTTATAATAACATAGAACAAAGGTCCCGGCTGAATGCTATATGACCACCTTATTATAAACATTGCTTTATAGGACATGGCTAATAACGACATACCTCATAAAACGACCACATTTAACTAATATTTCGGAGAATTAGATCTGTTAGAACAACCGGCTAAGCTGTATTGTAAACAATTTGAATAGGTATCCACATTTGTCTTTAATGGCTATTAAAATCACGAGAGAAAACAATAGGATTTAGTTTATTAGTAGGGTCTTTTCTAATACTTAGAAACACGTGCATGCAGTAGTCAAAGCCCGCTTCTTCATATGTCTTCAGTTAATTTGTTACTTATCTATACACAAGACGCACCAAAACTTTGTGGAGTTATTTGTGAAACTTTCAAAATGTCACAGAGAAAAAGAAAACAAATTAATATTGAAGAAAAATTGTGTATTATGTAAATATATTTTTCCAATAATTCCCTATTGATTTGTTTGTACTTGCACGATACACACTAAACATCACCGGTTGTTACGACTATCGGTTTTTACGACTGAATATGAGCAGTCCCTTCGATGTCGTTATAACAGATTTTGACTGTAATCAATTTTGAACAAACAAAATACTAACATTCAAAAGAAGTTGATATTTTAGATACAGCTTACCTTCTAGTGGCAATACCAAGTTCTTTGAGCTTTTTAAGTCCTTCTACTACAGCAGCTTGTGCCTGTCGATGGATTAAATTCTCACGCTTAAACTCATTCAATACTGGATCTTGAGTAGGATCATACTGAATATTACCCTTACTATTTTCTTTCAGATTCCTGTTGATGCATAAAAAGAGTGATACTATGTAATAAATTTGAAAAAATGGTGTTTTTATATAACAAATACATATAATTCACAGCAAAATATTTAAAATACTTATAAATATATTCAGTCTGGATTCTACTTTGTTGTTTCTGGGACCACTAAATGCCAGGTGAACTAACAGCCTTCAAATAAGTGTTTACTGGACTCCAGAGACCTCAGAACAGAATGCTGACAACCTTGTGTTATATAACACCTATCCAATTTTCTTAAACCAGGTGGCAAGACATGACAAAAAATTCTACTTGACCAATACAGGTTTTTTAGTACATTTAATAAAATCTAGGTAAATCTATTGGAATGTCATAGTAAGTTACTCAAAGAAAATAGAAAAATTAGTATTAATAGTCCAAATCTTTAAAATTATACAATCTTATTAAAACATACATATTTATTTAAATTCAATGGGGGCAGCTGTTGTAACTATACTGAGATTTTAAAACTCATATCTCAAGGTGGGTGGCGGCATTTACGTCGTAATTGTCTATGGGATCCGGTTACCACTTAACACCAGGTGTGTCATGAGCTAGTCCACCCATCAATGCAATAAAAAAACCCTTATTTTGAGGTAATTTTTTACATGGAAAATAGTACTAAGCTAAGTATTTATTTTATATGCTATAGAATGTCGAATAGGAGAAAAGGAACCGCCTTTCTTGTGACGAAATTATTATTCTGATATTATCTGATGTCAAGAATTTCATTCAACTGGGGTTTAGAAATTATGCTTCAACCAACATGGTTCATTATATTCTCAAAATGAGATCAGTCTAGGACAATAACTACACTACAGTTTACGAAACTTAGCTTGTATGTAAGTATTGCCATGTACTTACTTCCTTCTCTGTGCTGTTTCTTGCATTTGTAACGCAACGTCTGGAGCCAGAGGCGCGATTGTTGTAACCAGATCCAGCTTCTCCACCCATGGCAGATTTAATTTTATCTCGGTTAACTTGACTTTTAAGTCCGCAACGTTATTAGTGTATTTCTTTTCAATCTTTTCTATTTCTTCGTTGAGACCCGGTTTTATTAGACCCTTCGCGAATGCTTCTTGTAACTGTAGCAGAATTTAGAGTTAGACAATTGGAAATGATGTCACACGGTTTGAAAATATTTTTTTACTTGCCTCTTCATCTGAATCTAAATCCGACTCGCTGTCATTGACAATAAAATCAGTCATTATGACTTTTTGGTTAAAGAAGTGGTTTAACAAAAATTCTGAAAACCAGTTAAATATACTTGAGCCAATGTTAGTAATCCGTAGAAATAATAATCACAAGATGTATTTTTGTCTTGTTAATGATAACATAACCTACGAGACACAAGAAACGTGCACTTGACAGTCGGTACCATAGATTTCTTTTTGGTACCATTTTTCCTTATTGGGAAAGGCAACGGGATCTAAGCCCATACAGCCTTGTCTGTTCTATATGCTATATATGGCCGTTTTCCAATTACAGCACAAGAGCGCATTATGAGGCATAATGCTCAACTAAGCTTCAGCATAATTCGGCATTGTGCGTCAGGATTTTGATACTGTAAATTGGTGGAAGCTGTGGTTGGTACTGACGGAAATGGGTGTACCGCAACATCTTGTACACACCATCAGACGTCTGTACCAAGATGGCACAACCGCTGTTCGTGTGACGATATTGACTCCGAACGCTTCAGCACACAGGCAGACGCTAGGCAGGGCTGTATACTATCTCCTCTTCTATTTAATATATACACAGAGTATATAATGCGGATAGTNGTGGTGGAAGCTGTGGTTGGTACTGACGGAAATGGGTGTACCGCAACATCTTGTACACACCATCAGACGTCTGTACCAAGATGGCACAACCGCTGTTCGTGTGACGATATTGACTCCGAACGCTTCAGCACACAGGCAGACGCTAGGCAGGGCTGTATACTATCTCCTCTTCTATTTAATATATACACAGAGTATATAATGCGGATAGTTGTTGAAGATTGGGATAAAGAAATATCCGTTGGTGGTTGGAAAATATCAAACTTGAGATACGCCGATGATACTACCCTCTTGGCGTAAACCAGAGACTAAATCGAGGTGCTTCTTCGCCACCTGGAGATCACAGCGTCGGATTTTGGACTTGCGATCAATCGTGATAAGACCAAAATGATGATCGTAAATCGTGTTAACATCAACCAACCGGAAGTCCAACATATAGCGGGATGCGAGGTAGTTGATAGCTATGTATATCTCTCCTCCACTATCACCAACGCTGGAGGCTGCAAAGATAAGATCCGAAGACGTTGCGCCGTGACAAGATCCTCAGTTAAGAGGCTAACAAAATTTTGGAGAGACTGCAGAATAACCAAAAACGCAAAAGTTCGGTTAATGAGATGCCTGGTCTTTCCAATCTTTCTGTATGGGGCTGAGACGTGGACGCTGAGGATGCAAGACCGTCGTAAGATTGACGCACTGGAAATGTGGTGTTGGAGACGTCTCCTCAAAATTCCGTGGACCGCACACCGTACCAACATTTCGATCCTGAAAGAGCTCAACATCAAGGCAAGACTATCGTCAACAGTCCAAAACGAATCCTCAAGTTCTTCGGGCACATCACTCGTAATGAGGACTCCATTGAGTGGTTGGTGGTGCAAGGGAAAGTCGAATGCAAAAGATCTCGCGGACGATCTCCAACACGATGGACCGACCTCATAAAATCTGTGACTCACTCCAACATAAACGATTGCTCTCACTCTGCGAAACACCGTGCCACCTGACGTCGCATCGCGAGAGATTCGGTATCGCAGGATCCGACTGATGCATGACCACGACCACTCTGTCAAGAGTGTACGAATAGGAAGAAAGTCTTATATATTTTCCAACCCTTGTAAAATGGCAAATTCGAGTTTTACTGTCAAATCCAAATCGGCTTTTTAAAACTTAATTGAAATAAAAAATTCAATAAACAAAATATCATAATGTTATGAACAGGGCCATAACTTCGTCAAATCCTTGTAATCGCATTTTTAGATATATCCAACTGTTGAATCTATAAATTCACAAATTGGCTTAAAACTTTCTTGATTTCTTAATAATAGCTGAAGAGTACGCGGGACGTCCTCAGCATTTTCATATATTATATAACAGCAGACGGTCAATAAACACTAATATATCCAGTGAGAAAGCAGAACAACTACGGTACCATAGATAATACACCGTACTTCACCGTAAATATTTAAGAGTCGTACAAGGGAAAATGAAATAATTTCGCTCGATGTGACATCCCGGGACTTTCCAAAAAGTCCATTGAATTCATAGTAGACTCTCAATATTAAGAAGGGGTTATTTCATTGAATCTTAACCAATATCTAATAGGTGTGAATTCATCTCACCTCTTTAATTTCATATAAGTGGGTTACCACCTTTGATTTCTGTCAATCAATTTAATTCCATTTAATTTAGCTTTTCATACTACAGACATGAATAAAGTACTTTTAAATAAAATATTTGGCTTGTAGACTTTGTCCCTTTTGCCTTTCCGATTCAAACAAAAAAAATAAACGAAAGTGCAAAGTACCATAGACATTTTTTTGGTACAATTTTTCCATTTTTCCTTATTAGGAAAGGCAAGGGGATCTACGCCCATAAAGACTTGTCTGTTCTATATAATTTTTGAAATAAATTTTCAAAAAGGCCAAAGCCAGATCTTGTATGATTTATATTATATCCTAAAATAAAAATTTCATTAAGGCCGAAGCCAAGTCCTTTATAATTTCTTCCTGAAATAAAAAAATCATTAAGGCCGAAGGTACCATATATACTTCACCTGGAGACCAACTGACATGCACTTAATATTTATGACCAACTTATGAAGTATGGAGTGTAGAAGTAAGGAGGACCGTTTTGTTTAAGGAACAAGATGAAAAAGTGTTCACCTGTAAACAGTAAGTTATTGTTGAAAGACTCATCGAAATAGTGCTAGTATAGGCATATGGAAATAGTAGATTTGTGTGGTTCTTTCCTTCTTAATTTAGTATCCAGCTATAATATTTTTCGGCACAGTTTTTGAAGTGAAAACTTCTTTAGAATCGTTGTGATTTCAAACCGGATGCAACGGAAAAAACGACAGTTAAGAGACACAAATACAAAAATGTGTGGGATGAAGCCAGCAAAGAATGAGACAGAAATATACATACTATTTAATACAGCGCCATCTGTGAGATTTTTTAATACTAACGTGTGTATGAAAGCTCTTGTAGTGAATTTTAATTTAGGATTATACGTGAAATTAAAATATCAATTCACAGAGGGCGCTACCTTACAATTATTTACTAATGACAAAATTTTACATATACTTAAGACGTTTAGGATAATTGTATTTTAATTTTGGAAGGTTTCACTTCTACCACGTGTGAATTGCACACATTTTTTTTTTAAATCTTTGCACTTGCTACTACGGCACACCTGAATTGGCTCCCATTCAGCTAATACTTTCTTTAATACATTAAGCTGGTCCTTCTAACTTCTACCCTTCCTAAGATAAAGTACGCTAGTATCTCTTGCTAGTCTGCTGGTGCTGTAAGGTTTTTATGAGAAATTAAATTTTAATTTTAATAAAACGTGGAAAATATTTGTTACTTTCTACGCTAATTACAAATGTGGCAAATTTTAACAGGTTATCACAGTCCCGATAAATATATTAATAACATACTGTTATTAGGGCCTTTTCTAAGCCTGTATAGTTAGGTGTGTCTGCCAATTTCTATACGTTCTGGCTTGAAGGGTCGAATCAGCCATTTTACCATATATCCGGGAGTTCTATCTCATTTCTCAACAACATTGGATTTGATATATAATTTTAACCTTCTTTTTTCGTTTCGTCGTAATGGCTCATAATAAAACAAAACTTCACGAGTAACTTCGTGTATTTTTACAAGCAGCGTAAAGAGTCCAAGAGAGGTCCGAACTCTTCGGTGGTTCGAACACGAATGCTTGAAATTGAACGTTGCATGTGTGCCAGCGGCAGGCGCCGACAAAGGCTGCCGGTGCGCTCTGTGATCAAAGCCGCCTTTTATTTATTTATTTTCCTTTCTTTCCCCTACCTATGCTGATAGCCTTGAGAGGCTATTTCAGCTTCACTCTAACGTGTGTAGGTGAGCTCATGGGACTCAAGCCGGAGTGTTGCTAACACTGACCCTAGCAAGAGCAGTGCTTCGCAGAATCTACCACCAGATCGGAAACGCGACCCACTGAGAAGATCCGGCGAGAAACTCAGTGGGCTGTGTCTATGGGTTAAGTCGCTCGTCAAGCCCTGCGTCGCAAGCGATGGGATCGACGAGGACGGTAACCGGTGCTTGTAGTGCCTAAAAGCACCGTTAATGGATCGGGAGGATCCGTAATGACGTGATAAAGCCGCCTGCCATCAAATAGTGCAAGTGTGCCGACAGCCCGCGCCGACAAAGTGTGCGGGTGCGCTCTGTGATCAAAGGCACCTGCTGTCGAACGTTTCAAGTGTGCCGCCAGCCCGCGCCGACAAAGGGTGCGGGTGCGCTCTGTGATCCAAGCCGCCCCCGACATATATGATCATATTTATGAAGATTAAAAATAAATCGAATGCAGTTATTAAGAAGACGATCAAGTTTATTAAGAAGGTTTGCATTCAGGTCAAAATAACACACATCACCATCATCAATTATAGGGAAGATCAAGGCTTGTACTAGCATAGTCTTAGTCGCTGATGGTAAGAAATTCTTGAGACGATACAGCGCACGAAGAATTCCAGAGGTCCTTTGTCCAACGTAAGATACTTGAGCTTTCCAGTCGAGTGTGGAGTCTATGTAAAGGCCTAGGTTCTTAACCACGAAGCTTAGGGGAATCACTGTACCATTATAGAATATTGATAAGAGTGACATAGTAGTTAAACGTTGGACCACACGAGGACTACCCACAATAATGGCTTGGCATTTCGTTGGATTCACGGTTAAGCCCAGCTTAGTTGATCACCTACTTATGTATTCCAGGTCCCAATTTAACTGGTTTATAGCCTCAGAAATAGACTCCACGCTCGTCTGTCTATAAAGTTGCAAGTCATCAGTATATAGATGATATGCACACTGAAGATTATGTGTTAAGAAATTTATAAAAATAGAAAATTATAATGGAGTAAAAATACCGCCCTGGGGCACGCCAGAGTCAACACTACACCAACTTGAGGAGGTGCCATCACTACGAGTAGACTGCTGGCGTCCCCGAATATATGATTAAAACCATTCCAGCGCTGTAAGAGAGATCATAATTTTGGACAAAATAGATAGAAGGATATCGTCATTGAACGCATTTGAAAAATCAATTAGTACCAGTACTATGACTTTAGTATCTTGCGTACCTGCCCTAATGTCACCAACCACTTTAAGGAGAGCGGAAACGGTGCTGTGACCTGGTAGAAAATCAGACTGGTAAGGGCTCAAAAGGTTGTTCCGCAAAATAAACAGCGACAATTATTTGTGTACGCAGGCCTCGATCACCTTGGATATGAAGGGAAGAATAGATATAGGTCTAAAGTGATTTGGAAGGGAAGGGTTAGGAATTTTAGGTAAAGGAATAACATACGCCACAGTGACGGAAAAGAGCTTGAAGATAAGGAGAAATTTGTGATGTGCTCTAAAGCTGGCAGAAGATAATCCAGGATTGTTACGACTTATATTATCACAACCCCCGGCATTCGGCTTAAAAAAAGTTTTTATTGCCTTTGTAGGCAGACGAGCGTACGGTCCACCTGATGGTAAGTGGTTACCGTCGCCCATGGATTTCAGCAATGCCAGGAGCAGAGCCAACCCGCTGCCTACTGCTTAATACTCTCCACAAGCCTCGTTTGAAGAAGGACATGTCATAGCGCTCGGGAAACACCGTGGAGGGGAGCTCATTCCATAGCCGGATGGTACGTGGCAAAAAAGACCTCTGGAAACACACTGTGGATGACCGCAGTAGCTCCAGGTAGTATGGAGTATGGTAGTATTAAATACTTTTTGGATAGAAATTAAATATGAAAGTAGCCAAATAACTGCAAAGATACAATGCTTTAAATTGTTATAATATTGTTTTTGTTTTATTGCTGAGATGGGTGGACGAGCTCACGTGCCAGCTGGTTTTAAGTGGCTACCGGTAGGATGTTAAGTGGTTACCGGTAAACGTAAATATCACCCACGCTGAGACAAGAGTTCTAAGGTCTCCGTTTTTACAGTACAATGGTTGCCCCACTCTCACAAACTGAAACGCAGTACTACTTCTCAGCAAAAATAGGCAGAGTGGTGGTACCTACTCCTGCGAGCTCACAAGACGTGCTAATACCAGTAGCGATCACATCAGTTTCATAAACAGGATGACGATGTTGAGTAAAGATTTTAAAGGTTAGTGATTTTGTTAATAAATTCATAATAGGTATAAGCCTAGTACAAGCCCTTCAAAATAATCTTGAAAACACATTTTATAAATACGTAATCTGTAGAATATCTGTAGTTGTAGAAAACATAATCTGTAGAATATTTTCTTCGATTTTCTTTTTCTTTTTAGCGGATTTATGGTGAACTATAGTTGGGTAGTCCTTCGACAAAGCGGCGCGTACTAAAGTCCTCTTATTGTGGCTGCCGGTAATAGCTTATCCGACCGCGACGGCGAAACATGTCATAATGGAACTCTCGGATTCACTCGGTGCTTTAAGGGCCCTCAAGCATCGGTCAACGTCCAGTCACCGACCTCGTCGAACTCTTCTTCATAATCGACGAACTAACCCATAAGCCCACAGCTCCCTGAGTTTCTCGCCGGATCTTCTTAGTGGGACGCGAATAATAGCAAAGGAAAAAAATAATAGTTGGGTTGGCGGTTTTAGGTTGAGCTATATGTATGAGTAGAATAGTTACTATTCTGATCCAAATCCGCGCCTTCTGTAGGTAATGTTTCCTTTAAAAATAAATTGCGTGATTGTTCTGCATTGTATTGAAATTCATTAATGTTAATATATGTTGAGCATCCACAATATAAAGGGTACAGGTAAGGGGAACGGTCTCATATGGGAGAAGCTTGAAAAAGTGTCCCACTTTCAGCACTAATTAACAGTTCAAAAATCCTCCAGAATGGCGCTAGCATAGGCACAGGGTACGATATGATTGCGCAGTTGTTAACTGATTGAAGTATGCTGAGTTAGAAAATTTATATATTTATTGACTAGAGTAGTTAGTGACAGTGTAATATACAAGACCTCACATGTTTACGTAGTCCAAATTAATTTCGTCAATATAACCTAAAATATTGCTCTGGTAAAACGTGGAGACATCGATTGCATTTTCTTATAAGCTTTAAATAAAATACTTTTTGTGATTTTGTAGTGCTTACAGTTCTTTCGACTTTTTTTAATTCTCTATCTTATTCTAATAATTTTCAGCGCCTTTTTTTAAATGTACCCGGTTGCTACTGTAGCTCACGCTCGAGATAGCATCATTCACATCGTCATAATCTTCCAAATGTCGTTTAATTTTAAACAATAATGATATATCGTCAGCGAATAATACGACCTCGTGACGAGTTTCAATAAACTTTGGTAAATCATTGATATATACAAGAAATAGGAAGGGACCCAATATGGAACCCTGAGGAACACCCATATTAAGTAAGAGACCGGAAGATGTCGTTCCTTTAACGTCTACCTTTTGAATTCTTCCACATATAGTATTTAATTAAATCCATCAAAATTATTGTTAATATACAATTATGAAAAAAAATGTTTTAGACTGTTACAGCATTCTCCAGTTCCGTTAACAAATTTCACTTTTATTTTCATTATGTACGAATAAAGTCAATAAATGCAAAGCATAATTGTAAAAATAGAATGAAAATAAATAGTTCTTTTTGCTTGATTAATGTATATATAATGTATATTAATGTATATATAATAAGTTTCATGCTTCTTTTTAATTTTGGCCTCTGTATCCAAAACTGAGTTTTTCTCATCAGTCTATTGCCTATGAATTAACGAAATTGTCTATAGTTAAAAAAAAAGATACGGTACAACAGAAATATTTGTCGTTGAACTCTATCCATTAACAAGAGAAATCAGTTGCACTACTAGTAATATTTCCATCTTCTACTTTGTCATAAAAGGTATTTTATTCCATCTACAGATAAGATTTAAAATAATATAAATTAATTATTGTATTTTATAACCCTTTTTTTAAATAAATTAGTGATGGTACCTCACGTTCTAAAAAAAAAATACTGTAACCGGAAGTACTAAAGTACTTTAACATGTTCCATGAAACCCTGTTGTTTTGTATCACGAAAATGCAATGGCCGCCATCTTCGAGTCTTATGAATGTTTTGGTCGTAGTTTCGGACTTTGAGGCTTTTTTCACATGTGCTATGCGATTATTTGATGGAAATAGTTTCGCTGCATCATAGGAATAGTATTTTTTTTTATTAAAAGGTTAGTACCATTTTTACTTAGTTATTTCTCCAAAACTGTTTACATCTGGATTTCACACAGCTCTGCTTTTGTGATGTTGTCACTATCCATAAATATTTATTAACGTTCCGGCGTCAATTTTGATTGTTATGATTAATTATTGTACACATTAATATCATTTTATGTTGTAGATAAAGATATATAAACCTCATTTTCGTACGCAGGTACCTAAATTTCACCGTCTCTTTGTTGCTAAGCGGGGTATGACTTCCAATAAACATCGAAACTATCAAATAATAAATAAATTCTATACATATTCTGCTTAATTCCTCCGTTTAAGACAGTGTTTACTTTTTTGATGTTTATTAATGAGACATTTCAGTTTCCGTGCTACAATAATGGCGGCAGTGGATTAACCTATCAACTTATATTATGCTTTTATCGTGATCCTGTCGTATTTAAGACTAAATATTTCAGCGTGATACCTATTATTTTTTCGTAACGAACAAAATAAAATGGCTTTCGAATACGTNTAATTCCTCAGTTTAAGACAGTGTTTACTTTTTTGATGTTTATTAATGAGACATTTCAGTTTCCGTGCTACAATAATGGCGGCAGTGGATTAACCTATCAACTTATATTATGCTTTTATCGTGATCCTGTCGTATTTAAGACTAAATATTTCAGCGTGATACCTATTATTTTTTCGTAACGAACAAAATAAAATGGCTTTCGAATACGTTTGTGGAACAATGACCTCGATGGTCAAATCCTATTTGTGGACTATGAATATTTTACAGAGAGCATTATGGTGTGCACCGTGCATGTTTTTACCGATTTCGAAGATATATGGGTAAAGAATCGGTTTTCGATTGCAGTCACATGAAATAATATTTGGAGGCCGAGGGGCACTCCAAGGCGTCATCTCGGGTCTAACCCAAGATGATAGTATACGCAGCATGTCAGCTTCGTCAGAATATGAACCTTCGGCCCGGCAAGTGAGTACAATGCTATCATTTCGACAGTACTATGTCCACGCCATAAAAATCATATTCAAGGTATACCCATGAATTTGTAAACATAATTCCAAAACAAACCTCTAGAAACGCGATTTCCCAGTTAAGTTTGTGACTAAATTTCTTGTTATGTATCTAATATTGATACTAAATAGGTTTCCCACATTTGGTTAAGTCATATCAACAGTAAAAATAAGTTGGCAAAACGTATTTATTCTGTTTGTTCAGATGTATAACACATTGAAGGTGCTATTGATGTCTAACATTCTCACTTTCAGGTCCAAATTTTTGTAAATAAAGTATTTAACTAAATAGTGTATTCATTGAAACCCTTCCTAATCTATTAATAATACAAGTGTTCATGCGGTAAGTAGTAGTTGTCATTAATCTTAAAGAAGCTACACAATAAATGTTCTTTCTTTTTTCTTTCTGGCTATAGTTACTTTAATTTAAGTACAACTTTGCCGAGTCTGAGTATATAGTGGAGGTATCAAAATAATTAAATTAAAACATTTACATTACATATAAGGCATGAACTGAAAATAAAGAATGATTTGTTGAAATGCGTAGGATGACTACTGATTACAGTGCTATAAAATTTATCAAACCCTAAATTTTGTCAGTGTCCATGTTTAGGCAACAAGGATCGTTGCTTTCTGTGTATCATACTTATGTATTTAATTTTTTGTTTCAGGATTACGGGCCGGCCGCCTCCAGTGAAAATGTCTTTGAAAATGTATTGGATCACAATCTGATAAATATGAATGTACCTAGCATAAGGACTCCTGTTCTGAGGACTGTACCTGTATCTCCCACTCAAAGGGACCCGGAACCGGATTCCACTAATCCTGAAAGCATTATCCGTTCTATACACCAAGTAGATAAGGAAATTGACTATCACATTTCTGAGAAAAGGTGCGATTCCGAAATGTCTGTTGAGACGTTATCTGGTATCGTAAGAATAGAAGAGAATATAGATAACGTAGGCCACATTGCTTACCCAGTTTTGCAAGAAGCAGATGATTCTAGTGACGGTCACTATGTTGAAAACTCTACAGCTCTTATTCAAGCTCCAATCAGCACTGCCATAGTACAGAATGTCACTAAACTACCACAGAATTTTACAATCAATGTCGATGCAGCTGTTGGAAATATCACAACAATACAGAATGTAGCCCAAGATGTGGCTGGCAGTCCAACGTTGTGGTTGCCAACAATACTCACAACTAGTGCTGCTCCTCCGGATTTGAAAGACGATGAAAGACCCCAGGCTGGTGTGTCACAAATCATTATTACCAGTGAAAGCTATGTTAATGAGCTCAACCATGCCGGCCGAAGAGGTAATATTATAGCCGAAACAGGTTACATTAACCGTCCCAAAAGTTCTAAAGTGCAAATTCTAAGTAACATATCTATTCCTAAGAATACCACTTATTCTCAACAGTATATTCCATCTTGTAAAGAGGTATCTACACCAGTTTATGCAACTCAAAACCATGTATACAAACTCAATACGAACTTGCAGAAGCATTTAAATAGTTCAGTTCTCTGCAGTAAACCATCAAAGAATCAGTCTTTAATTGGTTGTGCATCGCTAACCCCAACAGTGATCAACAACAGTCCGATAAAAAATGTATCATACAGTCATACATTTACCAAGAATGCAAGTCTTAGTAAAACTATAAATAAAGTAAACAATGGTGCTAACCTGAATGCTATGGTGGCGTCATCTACTGGAAACACGCCGTGTCACATTCTTTCGCGTGTCGTGTCTGCTCCGAATAAAATGTCTGTACATTCGGGGAGAAAATTAAACACTTTGAAAGGATCTAAAAGCTCGCAGGTATCGAGCCAAAAGAACCAATCGAGGCCAATTAAAATAATACAGCAAACGGGATCATCGACACACAAATCCGAAGCGAAGACTTGGCCTGTCGCCAGTGTCACGTATAAAAGTCAACAGCCGACGTTCGGAGTGGTAGACTCGAATACTTCCAAGATCATTCAGAAAGTCGGCAGTCCGACCCACAAGAACCAATCTATACCACTAACAAAATTTCCTGCAAAAGGCGAACGATTAATTCTTCAATCCCCGTGCGGCCCAGTGTTGATATCAACGGCCCCCATCAGTACGAGCTTACCCAAAACACCTCATTACGTACAGTCAGGCGCTACTCCGAATTTGCGCTATGTGCAAACTTTTAGTTCGACAGAAAACCAGTCTATGACCTCACAAGTAACTGCCAATCAACAGTTGACTGCTCAAATTCTTCATTCCCTATCCCAACCTAAGCTGATGTTACAGCAAAGCTCACCCACAAATCACACTTTATCTCCAATGCTTCTTGAAGAACCTGTAGAATTAAAACCGGTCAATCAAAAACGGATAGTATTGTAAGTTAAAATTTAACTAGATATATTTTTTTGTATTTTGCAAATGAATCCTTCATGATACAGTATTTTTCTTTCAGCGGGGACAAATCGACTTTACTCACAGTAGAAGACATAGTCGGAGTAGAAGAGAGACCAAATTTGTCTGAAGAATTGCGACGATATTCTTTCCAACCATTGGCGTTCGTGATGCTAGATCACACATACTCATTACCAGCTCAAAAATTGGCCACCAGTAGTGCCCCCACGACGCCCGTGGCCACCGCTCCCCCGCCCACCGTGGCCACCCCGCCCGCCGCTGCGCCGCCTCCCCCTAGCCCCACGAAGCGCACGTCTCCCGTTATCGTGTCCACGGCCACGTACGAACCCGCGGTCGCCCCGCCCTCCCCCGCCCCCGTCCCGCCGCCACCCGCGGCCCCCGCTCCTCCCGTCGAGGCCGCACCGCTGCCCGACGACGACGCCGCGTCTGTCATATCCTCCCTGGACGGCGACCGGCGCCCCGAAGCCGGCGGCAGCGACACGGAGACCGCTCCCGAAGGCGAAGAAGAAGGTAAGACGCGATGCATCTGCGACTTCACCCACGACGACGGGTACATGATATGTTGTGATCGTTGCGGCGAATGGCAGCACGTAGACTGCATGGGCATCGACCGCCAGAACATTCCCGACGCATACATGTGCGAGCTGTGCCAGCCGCGTCCCATTGACCGTCGCCACGCTCGCGCCATCCAGATGAGGAAAAGGGAAGAACTGAACGCTCTAGGAGCGTCCGACTCTGACTCGTCTGAATGTCTGAGACAATCCGGTCAGCGGAGGAAGCGGTTGCTCACTGTCACAACTTACACGAACACTAGCGGGTCCAGCGTGACCACGTATAATTCTGCTGCACCTGCCGCGCCGACTGCGCTACCGACCTTGCCGACGTCAACTCTACCGCCTGTAGCCAAACGCGGCCCCAAGAAACCGAAAAAGCCAGATGTGATGCGAAAAGGTGCCAAACGAAAACTTTCGGAAAAAAGGGTGAAACGCAAAAAAGAAATGTTATTGAATCGAACCAAATACAGTTCCGGATTATCGAATCAGTCGCATTGGCAAGATTCCTATGAACTCGCCGTCACGAATCATTACAGTCCAGAGTTGCGGGCTAAGATAATGAAATACAGCAATAAGCTAGGTAACACACCGAACATGGGATATTCGTTGAATGCGCATTTATGTACAACGGTGCCGCACGCCGGCGGTAAAATATTAATTGCGACGAAAGACTTGAAAGAAAATTCCCCCGTGATCGAGCTCAGAGGCAAATATATGTTATCGAATCAGCATCGGCCCCAACAGCAGAATTCGGTGAGAGCTGGAAGTCAGAAACCGGGTCCTTTTGTATTCTTCTACAGGCTACCGAAGGACAATATTCAGATCTGCATTGATACGAGAACATACGGGAACGAAGCTCGGTTTGTCAGAAGGTCGTGTAAGCCTAACGCCGAACTACAGCACTGTATCGTCAAGGGAACGCTACATGTATATTTAGTTACAATATCTGTGATACAATCAAACACTGAAATTACAGTTGGTCATGACGCAGATGGAACTAAACAACCTTGCGCCTGCGGGAATCCCAAGCATTGCAAAATGAATGGAATGAACACATTGGCAAGTCGTAAAATTATAGAATATCCTTCTAGGGAAAAACGCAGTAGAAACAGATGTTACAGTGCTTCGTCGCCCGTCTCGCCTCCTGCGGCACCAGTACTGACGCCCGTTAAAGAGAATCCACCACCATTTATAAAGGAAGATAAATTTTCTCCTTTTAAACACGAAAAATTGTCGCCTTTGAAACAAGAAAAGTTGTCTCCTTTTAAACAAGAAAAATTGTCCCCTATCAAAGATGAATATCCGATGTCGCCGGTTAAAACGGCAGCTATAACTCTTGACTTTGATGAACCTATGAAATTGGAACCGTTAATGGAAGACAAACCCGAGATAGATTTAACAGCCAAAGAAGAAATGAAACCTGAGGATTTAGATGAACCGGATTTTATTAAAACCGAGTCTACTCTTGAAGAAAAAGTAGAAGAAGCAAAAAACGAGCCTGAGGAAGAAGAAGAAGAAGAAGAAACGCACGAACCTATAAAAGAAGCATTTGAAGATGAGAAAATTTTAGAAGATAAAATTGAGAAACCATTGTCGCCTGCACCTCAGACAGAGCTCGTATCCTCAGACGACGAGAAACTGGAGACATTGGAAGAGAAGACACCCAAAGAGGAACTAACTATGGAAGACGAAAAGACGCTTAAAGAAATTACGGCGAAATCTGCTTGTCATGACAGATCCTCGAGGTCTAGTAGAACTGTTTGTTCTAATCACGACTCTCTTGATGATAAAACGGATGACTCTCAAGATAGAATACAAACAAGAATTAAAGAGAAGGATAAGAAAAAAATGGTAGGTCCTATAGTGCCTTAAATATTCTACAAAAACCTAAATGTAAAAATAATAATAATAATAATATATGTGCGTTTATTTCAGACTCGAGAGGAACGTAAAATGGAAGCCATCATGAAAGCTTTTGAAAGAATGGAAAAAGCTCAACAAAGGAAACAGGAAGTTAAAGAGCGACAAAAACGAAGGGAATCAGATCCACACCCAAATTCATTTGATAAAGATGATGAAGACGAAATTCATGTTTCTACAAAGAAAAGAAAGAGGTCAGCATGTTAAACCTTTCTTAAAAAAAACTAAATCCTAAAAGAACAATTGAAAAAATAAGTTAATGTTTAATATTGACAGAGAGTTTGGTTTAACATCTCGAAAGTCATTTATGGCATTCTGTAGTTTGCATAGGTTCTTGTCTTGAAAGCTTAAACATTTTGTCTATTATATTACTAAGTTTATTATTGTCTATTATAGTCTATTATATTAAACAGTACAAGTTTTAAATCAGAAAATGGTAAAATAAATCTTAGATGTAACAATCATCCTGCAGGCTGGTACCAATTTTTCTAATTAAATATGTACTTAAGAAATCTTCACTATTGACTTCCACATGTAATAAAAAATCAAACCCACAAAATTATAATTTGCGTAATTACTGATGGTAGGATCTCTTGTGAGTCAGCCCGAGTAGGTACCACCATTCTGCCTATTTTTGCTGTGAAGCAGGCCTAATACGTTTCGGTCTGAAGGATGGGGTAGCTGTTGTAACTATACTGAGATCTTAAATCTCAAGGCGGGTGGTGGCATTTACTTTGTAGATATCTATAGGCTCCAGTGACCACTTAACACCAGGTGGGCTGTGAGCTCGTCCACACATTTAATGAATAAAAAAAATGGTTTTGTGCAGACGCAAGGGCCGCGCCCGCACCACGTCGCAGTCGGCGCGACGGAGACTCAACTCTGCCGACAGCGACCTCGCCACTTCCGCAGACGAAGCCGCCCACGTCGCCGGGAACAACGAGCACGACAAACCTGGGGAACAAGTCTCAGAGGTACTAGCTTGTTAATCCTTTGCACCGTTGTCGCCGCTGCAGTGACTTGACCCTGGCTTGGTGAAATTTAAACTAAATATTCGTATTTACACGTAAATCGCTTGTATTGGTTTTCTTAAAAACCTATTGAGTACATTCATTATTTTTCTGTGTGGGAGCTGCAATATTTTTTCTTTGGTAGGCACTCGGGCAGTTATTAGCGAATCCCTCTTGCCGGAACGCGTATTCGCCTACCTTGTTCTATTGAATCTGGAAAGGCCTCCGAGCTTCCAGTAAAAAATAATAAAGTCTAATTAAATCTACATAAAGTGTAATTAAACTTGATAATGTCTATAAGGGACCGGACCATTGCCCAAATAATTAATATATTGTAACGGTCACAGGATTTGGGGTTGAGTTCTGCTTGTTTGCTGGTCGAAGCCGCGGTCGGTTCTGTCGAGTCTGCTTTCAAGCTGCCCAAAACCAAGAAAACAATAGCGACGGAATGGATAGGCCGCTCCCCAGAACGAACGCCGTCTCCATACCGCTCGCCGTACAGACCGACGCTCGTGTCGGCGCCGTCGCTGGAGAGCTTGGTGCGAGTGGCGAGCACCATGATCGGCGACCTCAGTGGCGGTCAGGACCTCGACAACGAAGAGAACGCGAGATCGTCTCCGCCCCGTACGCCGGCGCGGGACAGGAATCGCCCCCCCAAGAAATCTAAGAGGATCACTAGAAGTACGCCACCCGAAGTGCCTGAAGCTCCTCCGCCCATATTACCGCAACACAGCGCTAAAAAAAGATGGCTGCGACAAGCCATCAGCGAAGAGAGCGATTTCCCTTGTGCAGGTATGTACCAATTTAAATAATTCCTTGCTTTGTTATTATTCATAAAAATAGTTGGTTATTATGTTGAAATCAAGATGTTTTTGTTCCAGAGTCTCCTCCGAACGAAATGGTGACTCCGCTTAAGAAGCGTCGGCTCGCAAGGGAATCTTTATCGTGCGAACAGAATACCATTGTGCCTGTAAGCTTATCATCAGAATATACAAACATTTTTCTACATTATATTCAGGGTTTAAATTTTATTGTTTCTTTTCTTATTCGCAGTGTAATGATGATACCTCGCCAGTTTTAACGTCAGAAGACTCCCCAGTTAAAGACGATTCTGCGTTATCGCGGCAGTATAAAGTGCGTAATATAATGGACAGTATTTATGGTAGGGACCGGACGCGATCGGACAGTGGTCAAGGTTCTGATGATCAGTGCAATATGGAACATGACGTGTTAAATGTTAATCTAAAAGGACCTCACGATAGTGAAAACATTAGGAGGATTATAGGAGTACCCACGCCAGAAGACGAAGAACCGCTGGATATAACAAGACCAGAAGATATCAAAATTAATAATAATAATGTTGATTTAGAAGAGAATAATTACAATAAGGTAGTGCCGATGGAGATCGACAATACTATGCCACAGCCAAAGATACAAGAGTCGATAGAGAACATGGACTCAAAATCGATAGGTAGCCCCAGCGAAAAGCCAAACAGTTGTCAGTCGGCCGACACGAGCGGCAACTCCTCACCGCAACGCGACGAGATGGACGACATTCAGAAAAAAATACACTCATTCCACACGGAAAATATTTTAATGCTAAAAAGTAGAAATAAGAAACCAAAAGAGAAACGGAAGAAAGTCAATTTAAATTTTGACTTGAGCATGGTGGACGACCAGATCAGTATTCAACTACGCACAGACGCCGAGAACGGGGGTAAGGGTCTGGACATCAACGGAGATTTACTCGATGACGTTAGCAATTCAGTGAACGAAGACGGCAAGTATAGTATTTCACCAGAAAATATACCTCTGCCGCCGTCTGAATCTGTTACAATTCTCTCGCCAGAAAATATACCCTTACCAAAAGATCCTAGTCCAGAGCTAGTTATGCCGCTTCTAGAAACAATACCCCTTCCAGAAGAAGAACCTACGGAACCAGTCAAAACCATACTACAAATTGGTCCCGTGGAAAAAGAAGAAAAAAATGCTCCAATCGAGAGGCCCTTAGTGTTAGACAACAACACCACGCTACCGTTTACTTCGCGTTTCAGCTCAACCGGACTCTTCTCTGGTATATTTAGTAACATGTCGCAATCGTTCAATGTGGACAGTCAAGCTAACGAGAACGTTCCGAACATGTCGATAATAAAAAGTGCTATAGATAGGACTACAAGTTTAGACAGTGGTTTGTTTGATAAAGAAAGTATTACGCCTGCCGATGAACTGAAAAGTGTCCAGGAAATACTGACCCGTGTTAACAATATGGATTCAAATAACAGTGTGATATTGTCGGGAGTGTTAAAGAGCTCTAACAAAGCTGGGCTGATGGCGCCGTCGCCTGCCAAGTCCGACGCCAAGCCTTACTGCCCTGGGAGCAACGACCCCAGGCTCAACCCCCCGCCCGTAGAGAAACCAAAACCGGTTAGAAGGAAGGTGAGTAACATTGCGTTGACACACATNCGTGTTAACAATATGGATTCAAATAACAGTGTGATATTGTCGGGAGTGTTAAAGAGCTCTAACAAAGCTGGGCTGATGGCGCCGTCGCCTGCCAAGTCCGACGCCAAGCCTTACTGCCCTGGGAGCAACGACCCCAGGCTCAACCCCCCGCCCGTAGAGAAACCAAAACCGGTTAGAAGGAAGGTGAGTAACATTGCGTTGACACACATACAGTATGCACTTCCGGCATTTTTGTACTTGGTCCTGCTAACAAACTTGGTTAGTCTTCATTTATCAGATATGTTTGAATGGAACCAGCACAAGGTTCGTGATTAGATAATGGGAATATTCATTTGCATGCATGCACTTTAATGATGGCCTCGTTAATTATGAGTTATCACAGCTTAATAAGACCATTATGTATAATATGAAGGATAAAAAGTGTTACATTTTCACAAGAAATATTATGTATATACAAATATTATATATAGTTTATAATAAAATAATATAAGGCTCTAGGAACTCAATAGAATAACATAATAATTTATACACAGTCCCCTCGGAGCTTGCTTATTGATAAACTGAAATACAGAAGTTTTCCTACAAATTTAGTTATCAGGCTTACCTAATGTGACTAATGATTTCAATCATCAATATCAGCAATAATCAAATTCAAATTTAGACAAAAAATGTAAAATTAAATGAAACATTTTGCAGTTGGCCACACCATGTCTATGCTAAATATTATTTCAATAATGTAACTTCATAATATGTCAACACAGACACTGCAGTGCTATTATGTGTTACTAAGTAATCCTCACTATAGTGCTAAATGCCAATAATTGAACTTGAATAAAGATCTGCTCACGAATTATAGGTTATTGGGTAATGCGTTTTAAATTTATTTATTTCAAATATGGATTTTCTTTTTACAGCTCTTCATACTCGTTTATCTAACAACTTATTTGCTGTAAAAATAAGTTGTACAAATATATGTTATACTTCATGTTTCTGTGAAGCATTGCTCCTGGTAGGACCAGTGTTAGCAAAATCTCTCGAGTTGAGTCTGCGAGCTGGATAGCCCAGCCATACTGGTGGTAGGACCTCTTGTGAGTCTGCGCGGGTAGATACTACCGCCCTGCCTATTTCTGCCGTGAAGCAGTAATGCGTTTCGGTTTGAAGGGTGGGGGAGCCGTTGTAACTATACTTGAGACCTTAGAACTTATATGTCAAGGTGGGTGGCGCATTGACGTTGTGGATGTCTATGAGCTCCAGTAACCACTTAACACCAGGTGGGTTGTGAGCTTGTCCACCCATCTAAGCAATAAATAAAAAGGAGCATAGCTGGAATAGCACCTTAGGTAACCAGCGAGACCTAAAGACCTAACCAAGTACTTAAGCGTTATATTTGTATGTTCACACACAGCTCTCTATAAGCGAGTACCGCAAAAGGCTCGCGGGGGCGGGCGGGGAGGAGCCGGTCCGCGAGGGGGGCGCGTCCTCCTCGTCGTCGGCCGGGGACCTCTCCCCGCGGCCCCTCGACGAGCTCGACCAGCGTCTGCACAAGGACATCGGCGCCGAACAACCGCACAAAGGTATGATCACTCCCAATAACAAACACTTGGAGCGACAAGCAGCTTATTTATCTATACTAATATATAAATCTACAGTGGTTTTTACGGATGTTCCGTTATAACTACTGAACCATGCATTCCATTGACTTGAAACTTGGTATCCATGTAGAAAATACATGTACTTAATGGGTAGGCTAATATTTATATGAGTGTTGGACTCCCTAATAATAATGATAATAAATAAAATGCAAATTTTAAATGCCCAGCGAAGCGGGCGAGTACGGCTAGTATATAATATCGTCTTTTCGCATTAAAAGTGTACAATTTCCAAAAATATTCGAAATGGAGTTAATATGCGGAATCATAATTTGTTATCATCAGTATTTTTCTCTTAAATACTGTCAAAAGAGCGTAGTTTTCTTTTAGTTTACCTATGTTTTGACTACTATTAAAAAAATTAATACATAATTTATCTTACTTTAAAAGACAGATAATGTAACTAAAATGTAACTTCTTTACATTATGCTTATAAAAAGAAATGAAAAAACGCAAAACTGTTTCGCTCTCAGACATATTGGTACCTATTCGATGTGAACACGCCGTCTTCATTCTTCGACTCGTGACGTCGCGTCGCCGCGTTGTATGAAATCGGTAGAGAAAAATACTGCGCAGTATTACGCTCTGATAATAAATACTTGTTGAAACTAATTACGCCATAGTATAAGCACGATTACATACAAAAAAATAATTACAAACCACGTGCAGTGGGTAAAGATGTACTATAGTCTGCAAATCTATTATTGTTACTTCTACAATATAAATAGCATTGATATACCGGAAAACAAATGGTATTTCATACAGAATGTATGTTTTGGAATACTGTATCGCCCTAATACTACTGAAATTAATTCAAAATTATAAGTTAAATAAATTTCAAGTTATTCGATTGGTGATTCTTCTAGATTCTAGAAGAATCCCTTACCGTACGTACTCCTCCTTATAACATACGCTAAAAAACACTGCACTAGAGTGAAATTTGAAAGATACGCTTCTAATCGTGCACGAAATAAATTAAGTCCCCAAATATCCATCGTGTAATCTAATGGTAAATTTGATGACTTTCTTACAAAATTATAAGTTTTTAAAAATGTCCGTTATCAAATTAAAAAACAAAAGTTGCACATAATTTGACGATGAACTGCATTGAAAATAAATCATTCCTATTACGTACATTGCATTACATATTACATATTACGTACAAAATTGACAATCAGTTTGTGCAATTTATGCTACAGATAAAATATGATGGTTTTATATTATCATAAATTACAAATCTTTTCTATTGTAATTCGACATTTCAAAAACACTAGTAAACTAATTTTCACATTAAGTAAATAATATTCTTAAAGCATTAAAAAACTTTTTAGCAAAATTCTAGAATGCGGTGTATTATTAATTTTAATACAAAAAGGCTTTTTATTTTGTATATTAATCGCAAAATTCTGTGTCTGTTTCGAATACAAAAATGTATGCACGGTCGCCTTCGGTAGAGTGAACGGCCTTGACGTGCCTAGTGTACCAACGCATTGGTGTTGTGAATTCAAAACTAATACATATATTCATACGGTACAATTTTGCATCCGCATACAGGCTTCTGCAATGAGATAATAATCTTTAGCGTTTTGTCGAAGCGATATCCGTCTTATGTCTACTACGTAAAGTTAATAATCGCTTGTCGGTTTCGAGAAGTGTTCGAATCTGCAGCGCGTTTATTTTTAGTGTCCGCCACCGTTTACTGGCGTGTTTCATTATTCCGGACGAATTTACAATTTGTGTGTCACGATGTTTCCTTCGTTTCGCTGTCGGTAACCTTTTTTTATGAGGGAAAAGCCTAGAAGGCTCTGAATGAATAAACCAACAAAAACATTGTTGCACGGGTCGATTCACAGCAATATTTACTGCGCAGTTGTGTGGATTGCATTCTAATGTTGCTGGATGGATCTCTGTCTGTGAACGACCATTGTTTCGATAGTACTTAGTTGAGTCTTTTACTGGTGGTAGGACCCCTTTTGAGTCCGCTCGGGTAGGTACCACCACCCTGCCTATTTCTGCCGTGAAGCAGTAATGCGTTTCGGTTTAAAGTGTGGGCAGCCGTTGTAACTATACTGAGACCTTAAAACTTATATCTCAAGGTGGGTGCCGCATTTACGTTGTAGATGTCTATGGGCTCCAATAACCACTTAACACCAGGTGACTGACAACTGATTTGGGTGTTTTGCCCGATTTTGTCATAAACACGCACGTGTCGCTATTCCATATAAATGTATTAAAATAATGAAAGAAGGATATGTAATTTAAAGTATTGATGACAAGCACAAATGGAACAACATCATCCTTAATAGTTATTAATTTGTAATCTATATAATTTAAGAAGCAATTCAATCTACTACAATACAATGAATACTTTTGTTTTTACATGCGGCTAGAGCCTAAAGCCGCTTTCAGACTACGCCATAATATAATAGCATATAGTATATAGCTCATAGCACAACAATATTGCGCACCATACATTGTTATGGACACGTTCATACTGTATTGTACTATATTGGCTAAGTATAGGCTGCTATACTATTGTATAGCGTAGTCTGAAAGCAGCTTTATGAAATAAGAAAAATCATAGGTTGATATTTGACGATCGTCATTACGGATCCTCCCGATCCATTAACGGTGCTTTTAGGTACCACAAGCACCGGTCACCGTCCTCGTCGAACCCGTCGCTTGCGACGAAGGGCTCGACGAGTGAATTAACTCACAGACACAGCTCACTGAGTTTCTCGCAGGATCTTCTCAGTGGGTTGTGTTTCCAATCCGGTGGTAGATTCTGCAAAGCACTGCTCTTGCTAGGGCCAGTGTTAGCAACACTCCGGTTTGAGCCCCGTGAGCTCACCTACATGTTAGGGTGAAGCTGAAATAGCCTCTCAAGGCTATCAGCATAGGTAGGAACAAACAAAAAAATGCTTCGGCTTGCGCAGGTGCCTTCGACGTCCAGCCGACCGCCTCCGAGAGGCAGCGGGAGAACCTGAGCTCGCGGTTGCGGCGGGAGATCGGCCTCGCGCTGGCCGACGACGAGGAGGCGCGCCCGCCCACTGACCTCTCCGGTACGTCTGTGCTCACGGGGGATCACGGTAGCCGCGTCCACTCAGCCTCACACGGTACCGGCGCCGGGACCGAGACGCTTGAGACATTTGAGACATCTAAATGAAGTGGTGTTAAGTGGTTACTGTAGCCCATAGACATCTACAACGTAAATGCGCCACCCACCTTGAGATATAAGTTCTAAGATCTCAGTATAGTTACAATGGCTGCCCCACCCTTCAGACCGAAACGCATTACTGCTTCACGGCAGAAATAGGCAGGCCGGTGGTACCTACCCGTGCAGACTCACAAGAGGTCCTACCACCAGTAATGCAGAAATAGGCTATGTATACAAGCTTGAACCGGGAGCGAAGGAACTGAAAGAGCTTTGCCGGGGAAAGTTTTAGCTTGCGCCCGTCCGCCGGCGACATGCCGCGCTTGTCGCGACGTGACGCTCAGACGGACGTCGAACAAAAATAAAGAGGCTTTGGAGGTGTGTAAAAAGCTTGCAAATAACAATAGCCATTGGATCTAATTAGAATCGCAGTCGTTAGATTTAGGACTGTAACGCATGTGTAGTTTTTGAAATTATCATTTAAACTGTAAACTTTAATTATAATGATTGACCTTGTCCGACAGATGGCGCCGGCGCGACGAAGCGGTGCGACAGGTAGAGGCGACGTCGTCCTTGTCCTCATATAAATAAGACATATTTTTGTAAATCTCAGATGTACGTCGACAAATCGCTCTTGTATTATATTAATTATAAATAAATTTAATATAAGAATTGGAAGGATACGCGTTAGGGGGCGCTCGGGCGCTTGTTGTGTATATTTTCAGTTTCAATTCCTTTATGATTTTCACGATTTCTCTGCAAGTACAAATTGTTTTTATTTCTCTCTGTACATATTGTATATAGGAGATTAATTAAGGACGCCAGTTCGGTACTTATGTATAATGGTAAAGAGACAAGAGATTTTTTATATATATATGTATGTACAATGTTTATGTATCTTATTAATATATTTATTTATTATCGATTTATCGATCGCTCGTTTAGCGAATGACGGCTAAGATTTTTGTACGCATAATGTTTAAGTAAATTATAGTTGTTTTTGTTGTTTTACGGTTTATTTTATTATTTTTTTAGTGTAAAAAATATCTCGGAGATCAGTGAAGTTTAAAGTTCGCCGGTCTCCGCCTTAGAGTTAGAATAGAATTCACATGTAACTTTGTAAAGTTTCGATAAAACATTATAGACATTGATATAGAGGTTGGAACTGTGCTATGATTGAAGCGGTCACGTGACACATGCGGGACGACCGGTCTTGTCACACGACGCAATGGAAGCCTCACAGAAACGTGAACATACATATTCAAATGAGGTCGTCAGCGCAAAAGTGGCCTAACCAACAATTCTTCATAATCATGCTTATAGGTGTATTGCAATTTATTTAAAATATATAATAAATTTTGATGCAAAACCTGCCTATCCATAGTTTCACCCATCGCCAACAGATGGCTTTGTAGACATTATTTTTGCGCGTATTGTTTTTTTGTATACTCAAATTCAAATTCATGAAAACTTAAACCTCATCGCTCCATAATAAGTATGGTAAGCTTGGCCACTTGTGCGCTGGCCGCCTCATATATACTCGTATAGACGTTATCGTTTTTTTAATGCATTTATTTCAAAAACAAAAAAAAAACGAAAGTGGAAATGTAAAGAGAAATAAATTATTCATTTCGTAAGCCACTGTATAGTTTTCAAATCGCAATCATTTATTTTCGCCGGAATAAATTCGCCGTTTTAACGAAAATCCCAAGAGATATTGGCAGACTGGGTTTGCTGTATAGTTGAAAAACAGATTTCATTTGTAACAAATTGATGATGACATTGTCGTTTATCACAGTGAAGCGTTTTTTGTGTCACAAGAGCGTCGTTTAGTTTGTGCTGTACTATACTGTACTGAACTGTATTGAACTGTACTGTACTGTACTGTATTGAACTGTACTGTACTGTATCGAACTGTACTGTACTGTATCGAACTGTACTGAACTGTATTGTGCTGTGTCCGCGGAACTCTGATTACAACGAATAAATGTTGTGAATTATATAAAACGTCGGAACTCGTTTCGACCGTTAATCCAGTTAATTGTAAATGTATCATATTATAATTGGGAACAGGCAAAATATTCTATTCGTTATGTCTGCGTAGATTTTAAATAGTTAATTGTCTCAGTAAAAATGTACGTGACGGAAATATATTTTGGACATTTACGAAGGTTTCGATTTAATTGTACTAATGAACAGTCAAGCCGTTATGATTGATTTGTAAATTTCAAAAAGTAAAATAGTTTTGTTTGCCTTTCACTATAAGATTAAAGTATGTAATTTTTATTGATTTTCAATATTCTAATGATTGATTACTCGATGTTCGTTTAATATTTAACCCCCTAAAGCCATTATTATTTTGTGTCGTATCTAATCGAATATCGTAGCTAATTTCTTAACTACTTAAACATTTTCTGGTAAATATAACGCGAGGCCTAACATTATATGTATACACATACATACATATATATGTATTATTTTTTTGAAACCACGATGATTATATAATTTATGTGTTCGTATTTTGCTAAACATAAAATGACATCAAAAAAACTTACTAAATACCAGTAGTTAAACAACGATTCAACAATTCAATCGAACGAAGCAAAAAGTCAATTACGTAATGTAGTAGTGTAAAATTAACTGATTTTTTTATTATTATTTTATTATTGTATTACTGTTATTATTTATTTTGTATTAAATGAATGTTCGAAGAGCTTAATATAGTTTGTTACAGCCCAGTGAATGATGTCGCTCCCTCCAAATTTTTGCTCAATGAACTTCACATAAAATAACTCTCAATTTGGATAAAATTTATGCTCTTTCTCGATTAGAGAATCGACCTAAAACGTTGGCTGCTTTTATTTAAATAATATTTCAAACTAAAAATAAATGTTTATTTTACTGTTTTTTTTTTTTCACTTAGTGAAGTTTACGTTGGTCGTCCACGACATGTACCAACTTAATAATAAGAGCGTCTTAGATAATAATGAAATTATTGATTACCATTTCGCAGTTTTTCGAGTGCAATTTTTTACAAGCCATAAGCAATAAGCTACATCACATTATTATTTTTTAAGTCGTGGATGATTGAACTCACGGCACATAATACTTAAAACTCACATGTTTTGTCAGAGATATGCATAATTTTATTAAGGTATCTAGTATGTAGTTAATACGTTGCAATAATAATAAGCCTACAAGGCACGCGTTAGTTGTAGAAGAAAATATTCGAGAAAAAAAAAGATTTTTAACAACTTACATATTTAATTCACGATTTTTAGAAAGTATTTTTGTAATTTATAAAAAGGGAGAATAGTGTTTTTTGTGTAACCGATTTTATGGAAAGTATTAGCAGCCAGTCTATCAAGAGATATAATGTATATGTAAATATTTTGATCTGTTTTTTTTAAATAATAGACTGTAAATTTGCTTCTCTTGTTAAGGTGCATTTTGATGTGACTGAAATTTTACGATAAAGTAACGAACGCAATAATCTAGGCTGTAATAATAAATGGACGTAGTAGATTATTAAAAAGAAAACGCCTTATATCTGTTGTCACAACTAAATGTACTTTGACTGTTTCGGTAGTGTAGTGAAATTTTTATGTGATAATATTTCTTATATATTATTATTATTATTATCATCAAGTAGTTGACATGTATATGTTATATATGTACACGTTACGTATAAGTGAAAAGCTATATTTTGTTATTGTAAACAAAAAGCGTGCACTATTATCGTTTGCCATACATTAATTATTTTATTTCCTTTATTTTTTTCCTTCGTAACTTCACCCACCTTGCTATTCTAATATCTTGGTAAGTCATTCGATGTAACAATGGAATATTTTGCAATGTATTTTTTTTTTGTGAACGCTAAGTGGATCGATTCCGTGCAGCCTGTGTATTATTATCCTGATGTTAATTTTTTTTCTGTCAATGTTTGAACTAAGCATGTAAAATTTAAATAATATAGAATAAAAAATGTTATGATAATAATTACATAAAAACTTGTTTGATTGAGCGCCATACCTTCCCGCCGATTTCGGAGTCAAGAGAGTGGAACGCACCAAAAACCGCTATCGGATGCTTTTGCAAGGATTGTCAATAAAACAAATGTTACATACATAACAAATATTTATTTGTCTTAAACTATTTGTTTTCAGTTCTTATAAAAACGTTCTTTCTTTACATTCATTTACATAGCTACTTAGTGTATTTATCTTATTTTACCCGCCGATCCTCATATCTCGTAATCTTTCATTGGTCCTTAAAACTTAGACTAGGTTTTTTTAATTATTATATATACATTTCCTTCATACACGATTCGCGTGAAAATTCATTATTATATTTTCCTGATAATACCGTGTAATATTTGAAAAGAAACTAGAGTTCCCTTTATATTTTAAAAATCTGAGCAAACCGTATTTCTTAAAAAAATATTTTGACTTAGGAACATGAACATCGGTTTCATATTGTGACAGTTACAAATTTTACATAAGTTGCTTATCAAAACGTTCTCAAAATTCTTTAAGAAACATTAAAGTCTGATACGAAAATAACGTTACGATTACGATATCTTCAGTTAAATAAAATCTCAGTCTTAAAACTGTCCGATAGACTTCATATTATATTGATTATTTCTGCCCTAAATCCCAACTTTCTTATGTTACTTTTTAGTAATATATGGCATCTAGACGTTTTAAAGAAAATCTAAGATTGAATGCCTAATGTATATTATATACATTTATTTATCTATTGTATTTTTAAAACAAATTTTTGGAGTTTACTCCTTATGAATCGATTTCATTCATAGCTCTCTCGTATTTGAATTTGATAGGTGGCAGTAAAACCAAGCGATAACAAAAAAACGTTTTGATATGACACTTAAATAACAAATCATATTGTAATCAATTGGCATGATTATCTAACGTCATATTTATTAATTTTTTAAAAGAAACGACATAAAATAATGACAGGCATTTTTAAAAAACATGTCTTTATTATAAATCTGTAGTAATGTCTAAAATTGAAATTATATTTTAGATCTGTTCAGAGTTATATTAACGGTTTATCGGTTTACCTCACGTATAACCGTATTCTCGAAAATATTAAATAATAATGAAGAGTCATTTATGTTAACTTTATTAGTCTTAAATTAGTAAGTTAATATTCTGTTAGCGCTATTTAAGCAGAATGTTTCAAAATTTATTAACTCTTAACATAGCGATATATTATTATGTATCTGACAAGATTGCAGCACTTCTAAAGGGTAAACTCCGGTCTCACGTCGGAACTGATACAATGTTTTTCTCAGTATTGTATGTTGGGTACATACATTTTAATCAATCTACCTATGACATAACTTATCGTCGTTTTCAAACCAAAATCTGCTATGTGCACTTTTTGAGATTTTTACTTTTTGACCTTTTCGTATGATTCACACCCCTATCTACCGTATAAAAAAACTGTTATGTGTCTGTATCTTTAATATTTATCTATAGCTTTCATTTTATGTAGTTCTTAAAAATTCATACTCATATAAAATTTTATACGAAAATGTTTTTACTCGTTAATTCTTGCACATAACAGATTTAGGTTTGACAGCGACATTATGCAAAATGTACATAATTAGTTTCGTGATGCATACAGTTCGTTCTGCATTCATATGATTCAAATTACTTTATAAGAAAAAGTTTCGTAAATGTACATTAAAATCCATCTGTACATCTTAGCTCAGAGCCATTTTTGGACGTTTGTAATTTGAACACTGCTACGCTTACATATTCAATTTAAAGTATCTTATACCCTTAAGCCTATTCTCCATCATGCAAATAATGGAGAGCAGTTATTTAAGCACATATTAATAAATTCTATGCCAAATACAATACAAAAAAAAAATACATTTGTAACTTAATATTTGTACAATACAGACTACTTTTGTTCCCGTATGGTTATAATCTGAACTAGCTGCAAATTTTAAACAATTTCCCAAATGTATGGAATAACAAAGTATTTAAATATAAACTCCTTTATAACAAACTATTGTTAAAAAAATGTTTTTTTATTCTATTTCAGAAGCCATAATATATATGAAGACACCGTTAAATCTATTTCTTAGTCTACATTCTGTACGTTTATATCACAGCCGTATCTAAGACCACTGAATCGCTCGACTCCAAGAAACTCGACCCCCATCAATGTAGTATAAGTCTATCGATTATCTAGTATTTCTAAAAAATAATATTTACCGACAAAATAAGACAAATACGCGAACACAACTTAAAATTTCGATAGCATATATTAATACACATTTGGCACCGATTTCATATAAATAAATGAATTAGACTGGAAACAGAGTCGATGTTTTAGATAAGTTAAAAAAATAAAAAGCATTAACAACAATTGTAGGTATTTAGTTTATAACAATTTTTAAATCTTGACTAGACTAACCAAATTGCAAATGTATTTCCATTTATATATACCATGTAATTTCACAGGAATGTTCATGGTTCAACACGGAAACCATAAGTAACGTTAATGCAAATCAAACCGTTTATCGATTCTATATAAATAATATGACGCTTCATTCAACGTTATATAACAAAAACTTAACACTAAAACGTAACATTACATAACAATATAAACGCGTTTTCAACGGTACAGGCGGATAACTGCACTAAAAAAAAATTTTAAATTTCCCGCCAATATTCACGTCAAAGTTCTTCGTCACTCGGCAAAGGTAATTGAACCAAACAGTCTAGTGTTCAGAACCTTCGTTTAAGTAGGGCGCCACTCGCGTTCGGCTGGTTCTCGCTTGACGTGATAGTTTAGGCACGGTTGGAAGTTGACGTGGATGGTAACAGGATGCAACGGAGCCGAGAGATGTACCGCGCGAGCGTCTAGTACATCATATGGCCCGAGGTGACGCGCCAAGCATGCGTAGTCTACACTCAGTGGCACGTAATATTTTCCTGTAAGAATATTTTTTATAAGAAAAATTGTATTTCATGTCTCGTTGGTTTAGTGGACAGCGACTATTCTACGGAAAACGTATTAAAATAATTACAAGAATTTAAAATGTGATTCCTTGTGTACTAACTTCCGATCTCGTCTATAACAACGGTAATATCACTGTTCATAAGGTAAATTAAAACTTACTTAATTCTATTTTAGACAAGTTTAAGGAATTATCAGGAGAGTCATTGAGTAAACAGGGTTACCAGCTCAATTAAAATTTTCCTATATTTCTTTAAATCCGTCATAATAATAAAATTTCACCTTAAAATAACACCCTTAAATTAGACACATATGTTGAAGAAATGTTGGTACACATCGTATAAAACTTGTTTATATTTACACAGGTACCAGTAAAATAATTATTGGAACAATCACATAGACCAGCGGTTATAATAAAAAAAAATTAGAGTATTGTTGCAATTTACGATTGAATAATTACCTAGAGCATTCAATGCGAATACCGGAACGTATTGCGTCGGAGGCGGAGGTTTCTCATAATGGTGATGATGTGGCGAATCACTAGACGTGTCCTGAATTAAACAGAGATATCGTTAAACTTGATTACAACACACTCGATTAGTTTTACAGGACCATTTGTTAGTGAATCTACCGGAAAACATTATATGACATATCAAGACTCAGTAGGGTAGCGTCTCGTGATGTTGACAGACGGTAAGCAGTGGCTTGGCTCTGCCCCTGGCATTGCTGAAGTCCATGGGCGACGGTAACCACTCACCATCAGGTGGGCCGTATGCTCGTCTGCCTAAAAGGTCAATAAAAAAAATAAAAAAAGACACAAAGTGCCCGCAGACACACTAGCGTCTATTGACTCCGATAGCTCCCCAAAATCAAGATTAAGTTCCTCTTTTCTCACCCGGTAGTAAGTAAGTCTTCAGACATACTCTATCTCGTTCTCTCTCAGGCATATATGTATATGTCTGTCTCTTTTTAGTATCGCGGAATATGTTTTCGGTTACAAAACTAAATCCCGTTTGGTTTACCTGCGGCGATGTGTCCCGGGCTTCTTCGGTGGAGCCGGACGCGGATGTGGAGGTGGAGGGCGCGGGCTTGGCGGCGCGACGGCGCTTGTGCGAGTACACGCGGCCGTGACCGATGCGCACCGCTTGCTCGGCTGCCTGTAACGCAATAATAGACTCTCGGTACAATAGCAATAAATGTGGTTTTAGTCTGCGCACCGGTCGACCTCGATAAGGATATGAGGCTCTGTTTTTGACTGCTCTGCGGTACACCGGTGGTGTCTTATAAAATAAAAGAGTGAACTGTAATACGACACGTGTAATATTTGGGAGAGTAAAAATCAAGATTTTTGAAGTCGTCGTGGCCTAAAGGATAAGACGTCCGGTGCATTTGTATCTAGCGATGCACCGGTGTTCGAATCCCGCAGGCGGGTACCAATTTTTCTGATGAAATACGTACTTAACAAAATATGTTCACGATCGACTTCCACGGTGAAGGAATAACATCGTGTAATAAAAATCTTAATTTATTATTGAATTACACTTTTATTATTGAATGCCAACAACGGCTCCCCACCATTCAAACCGAAACGCATTACTGCTTCACGGCAGAAATAGGCAGCGTAGTGGTACCTACCCGTGCGGACTCACGAGTAGTCCTACCCCACCAGTAATCACAAGAGGTCCTACCACCAGTAGTCACAAGAGGTCCTACCACCAGTAGTCACAAGAAGTCCTACCACCAGTGAATATAAAGTATCTCGCTATTACCATTACCTACATTTACTAAGCTTGATGAAGTACCCGCTTTTAACGTGACAACCGTCACACGCCCCCACAACACACGAGGTGCATCGCTAGATACGAATGCACCGGACGTCTTATCCTTTAGGTCACGACTTCAATAATAAACTAAAAATAATTTTCTTCTCTCTGTTAGTCAATCAATCAATCATGTATTTTTTAATGAAAATTAGGAATTAAGTCTCACCTCATCCTGCGATCTCGAAAATCGCCTTTCAATAGAATTCTTGAATTTGTATGAGTGTAGATAGTCTTCTGTGTGTTCCGGCTTCCTGATAGCCCGTAGTGTGGGCTCGCACTTGCGGCGGGGGTCCGCAGTCACCAGTTCCGCGTCCCGACCCTCCCGGGCTGCCTCACCCTCGGCACCAGACACTTGATTCACTGGAACTGAGACCAACATTCCACTTAATACACGACGGTTATCTGGAGTGGTGATTATATCGAAGTCTTTGTCAAGATTATTGGTGTGGCCGCACCGAATTGCCGAGAGCGTCATCTATTGCCTCGAGTAGATGAACGAAATCTAATCGTGGAAGAGCTCTAAGAAATTCGTATTGGGAAGTTCGAGAATGTTCTACTCTATTCCGTGCGGGCCGTAAAAACGCGAACAAGCCTTTGCTCTGTATTTAATTCTCACGAAACATGTTTTCGTGTAAATACAATTTTTATAGCCGGATGTAAACATTGATTGATGATAAAAATTTGTGTACCCTCTGTCTGGCATGAAGTTGCAACGCTTGTAACTACTTCATTTTTGAAGAGGATTTTATATTGTATTCGTCGATCGAATGTATAAAATTTATGTTAAGTAAACTTTTTTAATAACAAAATCTAAATCATATCATATGTAGTGTTGTGTGTTTCTTCTTAGAAGTAGAAGCAATCACAGTTACGACTTTTGAAGCACTAAATGGCGCCAAAATTATACGAAGAGTGAAGTTACAACCATAGAGCCACAGAGTGTTCTCTATTTGAATTTGAATAAAAAAAAAAAAGTATTCAGCATTCTTAACTATGTAACCAGCCGGTAAGGCTCAGATCTAATGTATAACGTTTATCTATTTATGTTTTAGCAAATTGCGTATATCAACACATATACTGCTGGGAACGCGAGGAGTGAAGTTGTGTGATTTGTTTTATTTTGTCTATTTAGTGTTTCTTCGGGTTTAAATATGTAATAACGGTGGTTTATTAACTGTTTAATATCTGTGAAAGTGCACAAATGTGAGAAAATGAAACAAAGCCGTACAAAGACGTAACTTCTCGGGATCCTCCAAAAAGTCCACTGAAAAAATCTCAGTAAATGACCACCATTTTACTGAGATTATATTTTTTTTTTTATTGCCTAGATGTGTGGACGAGCTCACAACCCACCTGGTGTTAAGTGGATACTGGAACCCATAGACATCTACGGCGTAAATGCGCCACACGCCTTAAGATATAAGTTCTAAGGTCTCAGTATAGTTACAACGGCTGTCCCACCCTTCTAACCGAAACGCATTACTGCTTCACCGCAGAAATAGGCGGGGTGGTGGTTACTACCCGTGCGGACTAACAAGAGGTCCTACCACCAGTAATTACGCAAATTATAATTTTGCGGGTTTGATTTTTATTACACGATGTTATTCCTTCACCGTGGAAGGCAATCGTGAACATTTGATAAGTACGTATTTCATTAGAAAAATTGGTACCCGCCAGCGGGATTCGAACACCGGTGCATCGCTAGATCCTTATCCTTTGGGCCACGACGACTTCAAAAGTACACAAGACCTGATGTAGACTTTGTTAGTTGTTTTATAACGTGGTAATACTGGCAGTGGATTGACAGTACCTCTATCACAGTCCATAGAGTAAGGTCCCGGAGGTCGTTCGTCGTAGGGCTCCTGGGCAAAGGTGGGCGGCGCTGGCGGCGGCGCGCTGGCTATGACCTTCACCGCGTACCCGTGGGAGCTGCTGGATGAGCTGGCTGTCTCCGAGGACGAGCCCCCGGGATGTGACCGGCTCTTCTCTCGATGCACCGTTTCGCCTGTTTTAACAAAATTTTACAATAAATCGATTGAATACAGTAATAATAATAGCTAGTAGTCCCCCAGTAGTCGAACTTCGACTATTATTAATTGAAATCATAAGTTAGAATATTATTATGATTCTACCTATATGATCAAAGACTAACTATATTTCTATAGTTACTATGCTTAAGTATACTTGAGACCTTAGAACTTATATACTTTACGTTGTAGATGTCTATGCGATCCAGTAACCACTTAACACCAGGTAGGCTGTGAGCTCGTCCACCCATCTAAGCGATAAAAAAAAAAACTTTTTTCTTCCTAATCGTAGCTTAGTTTAGATCGAAGATATCACTGTCAATCTGATGTTTGGTTATTACATAAACCTCTATGTTACGTAAGGCATTAAACAGAAGAAGAGTTTATGGCGGGAACGCGAGGAGTGAAGTTGTGTGATTTGTTTTATTTTGTCTATAGTTTTTCTTCAGATCTAAATGTGTAATAACGGTGGTTTATTAACTGTTATTACTAATAATAAAAAAAAACATCTTACTTTTAAGAGCATTTGAGGCCTATAAAATCAAAGGCAGCTAAATCCAAGTCTGTCAAATATTCAGGTAAACTACAAAAATCGGCCCTAAACACGTCATTACGGATCCTCCCGATCCATCGAAGTACTGCTCTTGCAAGGGCCAGTGTTAGCAACACTCCCGGTTTGAGAAGCTGAAATAACTTTGTTCGAATAGCTACGATATTCTTTATTTTAAAGCAGATTTATAAAGAATGAGAATATTACTAATAATCTGAATTTTAAATGATAAATAGTACTTAGTACTGAGTAAAAATAAATTTTTTGAACTGAATTTGTTAGAGATTTAGCTGCATTTGTTATAACATGAAAACACTAAAGCGTGTCCAACTAACTAAACAAGATAGCGCCATTGTTAATCCATTTTACGACATTATGGCGTTTAGCTGCCTTTGATTTTATAGGCCTCATATTTTAACCTATTGTGAAGAATAAAAGATACCTTTAGTAATGGCTTCGCAATGCCTCTGCAGATGCGACGTCATGGACACGGAAAGTCCGTCTCCCGGTCCGTAGCCCTGGACTTCGACGAGGAACCTCACGGCTTCAGCCACGGCCTCCTGGTAACCAGCCCTGTACTCCTCGCCGGACATCCGTTCAGCAGCTAAAACACAACCCACGCGAAGATGGAGCATCTTCTAGTGGGGACTTGCAATAACATTAGCATCCTTCAGTTGCAACCCTTACGATTCGGTCGATTTGTAAACTTTCAACGGACGATTTTTGCAGCACGAGTCAGTGTAGGAAAGGACTGATCAAGGTATTGAGGCAAATGATAAGCGTTTTGATGTTTTTGCAATGAATCTAACCAGTAGAGTTTTGTATAATAGTTCCGGTCAAGTTTTTAATGGTACAATGGATTGATAAAACTGTTCTATACCTATTGGATGTAGCGTTATAAAACGCATAGAAGGAATTCACTGCCAGCGCCAATGTATAATATACACATAAAAGTTTACAAACACACGAAAGAAACGATTTAGGGTACTTTAAAATTCTAAGATAATGTAGGTATAAATTTGTATTTAGGACAAAATCCAATTCAGTGATTTCAATTCACTTTTATTTCCAACATTAATCTGAAAATGTTTAAAGTTTCTGAAGAAAACTATGTCATTGTAGTCCTTTGATATTCCTGCCTAGCGAGAGGTATTAGGGGAATTTGCCAATTTACAGCAAAATCGATGCAATGAGCTGTCATTTTCAGACAAATTAGTAGGTATTTATTTGAAAATTTACGGGCCCTAATTCAAATTTACAAACAAAATCTTTACTGCTTGGTCGATGATTAGAGGGAGCATAAAAGATCGTATGGTGGGGGGGTTTTTTTATAATAGAAATTGTTCGAAATAGTTGTCAAAGTTCACAGAGTTTAAGCTTGTCTATCTTTGAAGCTAACGATAAATCAAAGGTTTGCTTGCTTTAATTAAAATAATCAGAATTAGTAGCCTAATTCAAAGAAAATCAGCCAATTAAAATAAAAAAAAACACATCACAATAGATGCTAGTTGTAATTTATTTCAATATTAATTTTGTATACATAAAAAGTAAGCGATATATCGTGCTTTTTTATAAGCGGTGATAAATCACACGCGGTCATCTCACTCTATATCACTGGATAGACCGTCAGGAATCAAACAGTCTCATCATCATCATCATCAGCCCACAGACGTCCACTGCTGGATATAAGCCCTCTCTAAGGTTGGGCACAATGACCAGACATTTTAAATAAATACCTGCACATCGTCGTTATCAAACCAAAATCTGCTATGTGCACTTTTGAGATTTTTACTTTTTGACCTTTTCGTATAGTTCAGAGCCCTATCTACCGTATATAAAAAAAACTGTTATGTGTCTATAGCTTTAATATTTATCTATAGCATTCATTTGATATAGTTCTTAAAAGTTCACCTTCATATAAAATTTTATACGAAAATTTTTTAGTCGTTAATTCAAAATAGAGTTTTTGCACATAGCAGATTTTGGTTTGACAGCGACGATATATATATATATTAAGCAGCCAAACAAAAAGCAATCAAACTTGTTCTTCAACTGAACGTTCGTCAGACGTGGGAACTAAATGCCAGGAGGGCGCTATTTACTGCCCTTAAGTAAGACCAAGCATAAATCTTTAAGTCGATGAAGATTCGTCATAATCAAATTAATTACTCTGTAAACTTCGGCAACAATTTCGAACTACGAAACGATTCTCGCTGTACAAACCATTGACCCGCTCTTGCAGGTACTTGAGGTGCCTGATCGCCATCTCTATGATCTCGGTCTTCTCGACGCGACCGCGGCCCTTCTTCAGGTACTCAGGAGGAATCAGCCTCGACAGGTCCGCGAGGCAGTTGTTCATCCGATCGCGGCGTCTCTTCTCAATGATCCGGTGCGACATCGGATCTTGCTGTGGGCGAACGGCTAATATTAATCGTAGAATACTTGAAAGCTTTGACCGTCTTCGCTTTCGGTTACAAGCCCTGACAGGCCACTCCATAGTACCTGGCAATCGGTTCGGCCACAAAGCGTCTATCTCCCGCTTTAGAGCAGCGAAGTGGAGTATGCTCTGCATCGCTTCGGGATTCGAATTGACCCGAGTCCCAAACTAAAACGTGTTTTCTTTCAATTTATTGTTTTTGTATATATATAAAATGGGACAATTTACGGTAGCAACAATAACAAATATTGGCTCTTTAGAGGCCTTGATGCTTTTGTGTTTATAGTTATTTGTTAATGTTAAAGTTACAGCCGTGTGTAATGAGATAAAACGGGCATATTCAGTGTGACTTGCCCTTGAGACCTTCCCCTTCTTGAGGTAGGAGCCAGGCGGGTACTCGGCTTCGTCCTCGGAGGGCGCCGCGAAGCTGAGCTGCTCTCCCGACACACGACCGAAACCATCGTTAGAGTTGTAACTGAAAAAAAAAATGTTTTTTTTTTAATAATTTGCATCGATTTTGCACGAGTTTTAGACAAAATTTAAAACTATACATTTACTATAAATAGTAAAAAAAAATTGAATTAGATTATAGAATAGAGATAGATAGAATGAATAGAGAGAGATAGAATAAAGATTTTTTGTTATTGTCATTGTTATTGTCATTACGAGTATATTAATTCCGAAATTTCGAATAATAAAAAAGTTATTTTTTTGTTTCTTCTAAAAAATATGCATGGTATTTTATTCCCTTATCAACGAATAATAAATAACTTAGTCTCATCCCTGACGAGGAAAACTGAAAAATATTCAAAACGTCTACTAATGACAATAAAAAAGGCGAGAGATTAAACCTTAAACGACAAAAAATTTCATTTTGATTTTTTTCTTTATTAGCGAAAGATGCGACTTAGTATTTATGTATGAGCCAAATTCGAGCGGTAGTGAAGAACCATTTTATTGCTGCACAGGGATGAACCGACTTACGACCCACCTGGCGAGTGATTTCAAAGCGAGTGCCCCCCCACCAATCTTGAGACATAAATGCGAATAAGATTGTGTATCACAACGACTGTGCGAACATTAAAACCGGAAGACGCTGATACTTCGCGACTCAGTTGCATGTTTAGTCATATCTATTAGGATTTGTTGTACAAAACACAGATAAATCTGAATTTTTCCCCACAGACACAAGTATTCCAAATGAACCGATAATTAATTGTAAGATTAAAGCGACAGCCCTACGTCTAAACCCTGATTGATATTGATTCACAATTACATATTTTGGAATTGGTTTTAATTTATACAGGGTTATGATAAAACAAAACTTCTTATATTGCAAAATGTTCATTTGTTTCTATAGATTGGTGGATTATTTTTTGTTTATACATTTGTTAAAGTCAGTGAAGGTTGACGAACGGCCTCATTACGGCACTACCTGGCTATGCCAGTGCCAACATTGACCTTACCTTTCCTACATTTTTTTTGCCTACCTAAAATGTCGCCGAAAACTAAAGTCAATAAATACAAATTAAAGGCTATAGTAGAAGCTGACGGTACTCAATTCACCGCTGAGTTAGCAGCAGCTTACAACGTTAGCGTCAAAACAATAACGGTCAAGGTGTTTAGCAACAAACTAACTTTACTTTACTTTTATTGATGGTAGGACCTCTTGTGAGTCCGCGCGGGTAGGTACCACCGTCCTACCTATTTCTGCCGTGAAGCAGTAATGCGTTTCGGTTTGAAGGGTGGGGCAGCCGTTGTAACTATACTGAGATCTTAGAACTTATATCTAAAGGTGGGTGGCGCATTTACGTTGTAGATGTCCATGGGCTCCAGTAACCACCTAATACCAGGTGGAGTGTAAGCTCGTCCACCAATCTAAGCAATAAAAAAAATTAAAAAAAATTGTCGAAACGAACTTATCCCTGTGTTGTGCCAAACGAAATCCTGCAAACGATCGTACACAAACCCCAAACGAGCTCATAATTGTGTTACATCACTAATATACGTCAGTTAAGTTAAGCCACGCGACCGTAGCTACTACTAAATATTTACGAACAAACATGTCCACAGTGTTCGTAGGAGCAACGTGACGATTTCGGTCAGTTTTGTCGTCGTATAAATTCAAGGTTCTTTCAGCGACATGTGATCGCAAAACGTGGCCCATATATATGTATATCTATACTAATATTATAAAGAGGAAAGATTTGTTTGTTTGCTTGTATTGAATAGGCTCCGAAACTACTGAACCGATTTCAAAAATTCTTTCATTGTTTGGAAGCTACACTATTCCCGAGTGACATAGGCTACAACCTTTTTTTGAAAAAAAAGAAAAAATAGGGATCCTTACTAAAACTCCAATAATGTAACCCAAGGTGTAAAAAAATTACTTCAAATATTATTTACGTCGCGTGCCCTGCGAAAACTATTGATGATAGAATAAAATAATGTACTACGACTTTGTAGAACACCTTATTATTTACAAAAAGTGTCGCGACAGCATATGTCTAACTATTATAGTTATGCCACAATAAGTGTTCTTTTATTTAAAAAAAAAAACCGTCAAATATCATTGAAATTTTTGTCGACCCGAGCGGAGCCAGAGCGGGCCGCTAGTTACAAATAAGTTAACTATCACGTGTACAAATGTTAGATGCAATGACGTTTTCGCCGATGATGACACCGAATTGATTTTGTGCGTTTTATCATACTCTTTTTTTTTTTATTCTAAATGTTCGCTACCGTTTATTTTAATTCTGAAGACGGCCAGCTCTTGGTTTTTATATCGTTATCCGCATCGCATCGCATCGCATCACATATGAGTCGACTATTATCAAAGGCGGCAATCTGACTTTTGGACAATGATTGGTAAATCAGAAAAACGAATTATTGACTTTGTATTTCATTGGCAGTCACAAAACTCTTCGGAACGACATCTTAGATAAATAACAGGTTAACTATTAACCTTTATTTAATGCAGGTTTTGAACCGTATTCTTTGAAGGAGACGATTATATTGAAATAAATCTGTATTGACATATCAATAAAAATTTTTTGTCCAAATGTACAGATTGCCGCCTTTGATAATAGACGACTCATATGTTACAACTTGTGATATGGGGGCGATAAATTAATCGAATTGAATTAATGGCGACTATAATTGAATATGCAATTTCGAAAAGGGCACATGTCGCATATTTTGTCAAATACGTTTTTTCATATACAATGTAGTTTTGAGGCTTACCTACACACATTTTATAATAATTCCATTAATTTTCAATTGCTAATTAACACTAAAATATATCTCGAAAGTAAAATATTTTAAATTTTACGCTGCTTTAGAAAATAATCAGTTTTTTTCATTTCCTGAACATTTTACGTTTTCAGAGATGTGCCCTTTTCGAAATTGCATATTCAATTATATCAAATGAAAATTTCTCAACGGTTCAGTTGGTACGGGCGAAAACAGAGGATTCACAGGCCTGTCTAATTTTATCACGAAGCATTATACATTGCGGTTTGGACGGAACAGACGTTATACAATTGAGACTTAGATCTCGTGTCTGAAGATAGAGGTATATATACTCTATGATGTCTGGTAGCTCCGGTAAGCACTTAACACAATATAGAAACAGTCTAATCTATCTACCGATTCTGAAAGAACTTTCTTTGGCAGTTAAATATTTTTTTCGAAGTACATTACAAGCTTTTAAAGAAAGAATATATTCTTAAAAACGTGTTAAAATGAAAATACGCGAAAATTAAATGGTCCTTTAAAAAAAAATTGTTATTACTAATTTCATCGAAATCAGTCCGAGAAATTTTGCTTGAAACTGGAAGGATTACAACAAATACACAGTTAATGTAAATCTAAAACTAATATACCCACCTGAATAGAAACTTTTTAAAATTTTCAAACAACAAGCATAATTCACTTACGCTTTTACAACGACACAATAATATATAGACAACAATAGAAAAGTAAAAAAAATTTGAATATATTTCAGAAGTTAATAAAAGATTGACTGTAGAAGTCATCCTGGCCAAAAGGATAAGACATTCGGTGCAATCGTATCAAGAGATGCACCGGTGTTCGAATCCCGCAGGCAGGTACCAATTTTTGTAAAGAAATATATTATTACGTATTTGACAATTTTTCACGATTGACTTCCGCGGTGAAGGAATAACATCGTGTAATAAAAATCAAATCCGAAAAAATATAATTTGCGTAATTACTGGTGGTAGGATCTCGTATGTGTCCGCACGACCACCCTGTCTATTTCGACGTCAAGCAGTAATGCGTTTCGGTTTGGGGTCGTGGGGCAGCCGTTGTACTGTAAAAACTGAGACCTAAGAACTCATGTCTCGAGGTGGGTGGTAGCATTTACGTTGTAGTTGTCTATGGGCTTCGGTAACCACTTAACACTAGGTGGGCCGTGAGCTCGTCCACCCATATAAGGAATTAAAAAAATAATAAAAAAATATACAAATACCGACTTATTATTTATTCGTAACAAATACCTCTCTATTTATAAAATACATATAACCTCAACCTCACGTGTTAGAAATGTGTTTTTTTTTTAGTTCAAAGCTAATATGATTAGGTTTCCAAATTAGCACACATGTGTGCCTACACGTTTTTTCTGTTTACCGGCGAACAGATACGTGGTTACTTAAAATACAGACAATATTTTATTCATACACAATTGACACACCGACAACGTTCACGTGTTTATCGGCATGTGGCCATTCGTATCGTAAAAATACGAGGTAAAGTTACATTTTGTTTTTTCAATAAAATGTTTTTATCGAAATCATGTAACGCATTGTTGCTTCGTGGCAGAAACAGGCGTGATAGTGGTTACTACCCGACCGGGCTCACAAGACGCCCTGCCACCGGCAATTACGCAAATAATAATTTATCCCGGTTTCTTTTTTGCTAAACGATGTTATTCCTTCATCTTGGAAGTATTTGGTGAATATGTATTAAGGCGTGTTTCATTAGAAATTTCCCATTAACGACCTATGCAAGTTGTGTGTGTAGCTTTGAACTAAAAAACTACTTTTTAAACAGTTTAATTTTCGAATATCGAAGGAAATACCTACTATTAACTTTCTACGAATTTCAAATTATGATTTAAACTCGAATGTTCCGAGGCTTTTTAAGAGTATTTGTAATAATCAGACCGATAACCTGATAACGTGGTAGGAGAAATGGACGTATATAATTTCAAGGTCCACCCAGATCGCTACCCGCAAAGCTATCCTACTGATGACATCATGTCCTTTATAAGGCTGAAAAAATATCACACATGGAATTTCTCTACATTATTCTTCTATATCGTTCCCTCACTGCTGAGGATCGCGACCACATGTGACGTTTCTCCACTGTGTTCGATGATGGGTGGCACGGACCGCATGGTACAGACTACCACCAAGTGCTTCTCTTACTAGATCTGACCATCTAGCTGGTGTT